CTGGAGCAGCGAGTGGCCAGCGATAGGACCAGCCAGTCCCGAGCAAGCACTGAGTCACCAGGGCGGGAGAGTCTCACCCCAGGGCAGTGAGCTCTCTGCGCCCGCACACTCATCCCCTGTCACGCACAGGAGAACTGGGGAAGGCCAGGTTAAGCGGGGGACAGGTCCTTTTCCCAGGGGACCGCACCTCATCCCATGGGGTTTGAGTGGCAAAGGTTGGCACATTTCGACTCTGTCCTCAGTGACAGTGTGAAGTGACACCTCCCATGAGAGTCTCTGTGCGCCCCTCCCCAGACACTTTGCGGGCTGTCTGGGTGCCGTGCCCCTCCGTGGGCTCTTCTCCTCCAGCCTCCCCACACCCGCTTCTCACCCTGTGGAAGCCCATAGGTGCTTGCTCAGGCACGCGGCCTGGGGCCCGTGTCACATCTGCAGTGTTCATTTCTGGCCAGCAAGACCCTATGTCTATGGAAGGGCGAAGGCCAGCGCCCTGGACCTGGTGCCGTTAGGCCGAGCAGCAGCAGAGCGGACAAGCCAGCTAGAGGAGCCAGGGCTCGCTGCGGAGGACACTCCAGAGAACACGGGTCCTGGGCTGCGGCCTGCGGGCTCTGAGTCTTACCTACCTTCCTTCCCTCCTGCCCCGTGTTACCAACCTCATCATGTGTTTTATGTGTCCTACGTCTATGTTTTATACAACCTGTATATTAACATATAAAACGTATATTAATTCTTAGTGTGTAAACATATCCGTGACATTTTTTGGAGAGACACACACACACACACAGATTTTCTTGTGTCTGTCTTGCCCACCCTCGGAAATCCGTGTGAATTAAACCAGTGCCGTTCGTTGGGAGCAGGAAGAGTACTTCGAAATAAATCGAGAAAGGGCCCCATGTGTGTACTGGTATTTAGACGTGAGAATTAGGTGTTTTGTATCCAGAGGCTGAGACACGTTTCCCTTCGTTGGAGGAGAGCTAGTCCTTGCCCTCCGGGCTGCTCCGAAGATTGGTCGTAAGAGTGAGTGTAAACATCTGTGGGTTACCGTGTGCCTGGTGACGCGCTGACTCGACCTGGGCAGACAGACGATAACTCCAAGTTCAAACCCGGAGTACGAACAGCGAGCACGCGAGCCCGTGAGCCAAGCTCTTGCTTTCCCGCAGGTGCGCCTTCCGGAGACCGCAAACGGGGACGCTGCCGTGTGTGGTGGGGGGTTTCCGATGCAGGAGACTTCTGTGTGATCCGGTACCCTGCGGGCCCGCTCGACCCAGATGCTCCCAGCCAGATTTTTGTTCTTCCCAATCCCAGTCCTCTTTTCTTACAGTGAGATCCTACTTTACAAATCTTGGGAAGACTTTCTTTATAGATTTGATTTAGTCTCCCCTCCCACCACCCTTTTCCCCACCACTGAAAAGCCTTAATTCTCCCAAATCTAAAGTAAACGATGTGCAGATAAAAACACCCTCTGCCTTTCTGAAGTCATCTGCTGCATTTTTGTGGCTCACAGTGACCCAGGTGGGACCGCGCCCTGATGCCGGCTGTCCCCCTGTGCGGGGAGGGGAGCTGGGCTGTCCCACCCGCCCTCTTTGCTCCTGAGCTAACCGCCAGCGTAGCCGGAGCGGGGTTGGTTGCCGAGAGGACCGTACCTCTTCCCGAGGCCGGCCCTGAGCACGCCCTCCTGAGAAACAAAGACCCAGCGTCGTGCAGTCTTGGGTGGGCGCTGCTCCTTCCGGGTACTTCCCTGTAGTAGCGGATGAAGTTTGCCTTGCCTCTTTCATCTCAGTTAAATGGCCGGCTTGTGGGTTTTTTTAAACTGGAAACACTTGAATGACATTGAAATCATTTCTTCACGAGAGAAAGAAAAATGATTTCTTGGAAGGTGTAGAATGCCACATTGTGTCGGGAACGTTTTCACAGACTCGGGGGCCTTGAGGTGCCCCCCGATCAGTTCTGTCCGGTAGGATGCCCGTGTCCGGGAGACCGGGGACAGAGGCTCCCTGCCGCACTCGCTGTGTCCAGAAGCCAGTGGCCTCACCTCGCTCAGGCGCCTCTGGGAGCCGCGCAGGGCCAGGGCCAGGGTCCTCGAGTCTGTTGATGGTCACTTGTGGGTTTCTTGGGGCGCTGTGTTCACCTGGGGAGCTGCTCCCACGGGAGCACCCACACCCCTTTGCACAGGGGTGCCGAGAGGATGGAAGGGGACCCGTTCTGAAGGACTGAGCCGTCCCCACCCCGTCCGGCCATCCCTTTGGCACTGGGGTTCTATGTGTCCTGAGAACCACAAACGTCCTGTTGACCTGCTGTGGGCTCTGTCTCCCTGCCACCTGCTGTGCCCCCTGTCTTTGGCCTTGCGGATGCCCACGTACGCAGCTTCACGTAGCTGCTGTCTCTCTTGGGTGATGTCTCCGTATTTCCTGATGCGGAAAACCTTGAAATATCAAGGTCAGAGGATTTGTGCCTGTGGCCTGGTTTGGGGCTTGCTTCATCAGGAATCTAGGCACGTCCGTGGTTTTGGGCGTGACAAAGCGTTCCGGCCCTGTCGCCGAGGTTGGATTTAGTGATCGGCTATCAGGATAGATGTAAGAAGTCTGTCTTGGCCTTCGTAAGAATCTGGAAGTGGGCTTTCTGACACCGTCTGTAATTCGGAAATCTCTCAGCTGATTTCCACATCTTAAGTGCAGGTGATGCGGAAACGCAGACGGGACGGGACGGCTGTCCCTAAAATGACTCTTTCTCTTTGTGTGACACCACAGGGGTGCAGCCTGCAGGTCGGGACCCCTGCCCGAGACCCAAGAGCCTGTGCTTCTGGGCAAAGTGCTTATGCAAAAATAAACACATGAGGGGCGCCTGGGTGGCTCAGTGGGTTAAGCCTCTGCCTTTGGCTCAGGTCATGATCCCAGGGTCCTGGGATTGAGCCCCGCATCGGGCTCTCTGCTCAGTGGGGAGCCTGCTTCCTCCTTTCTCTCTCTCTGCCTGCCTCTCTGCCTACTTGTGATCTGTCAGGTGAATAAATGAAATCTTTAAAATAAATAAATTAATAAATAAATAAACACATGAGTGACCCCGGAGGGCTCGCGAGTTAATCTGGAAGGAAAAGCAGATGGGAATAACGAAGAAAATGTGGAAAACGGGACTTGAAAACTTGACTACGTGTCCGATATTAAGGGTTAATGGAGCAGTCCACGTTCAGAGAAACCTGTGGCCTGGCTCACGGGGAGACCGAAGTCTGTGTTAGGGTTGAGCACGTGAGGAAGGTGGCAGTTCGGAGCCACGAGGAAAGGGGAAATGACAAAGCACACTTGTGCAGTGCACACGCACCCGCGTCCGGGGGTGCCCTGCTGTGCGTGAGACGGGAGCAGCGGAGGTGGTCACAGATCACGAGGAACAGCAGGAACTTGGTGGCAGGCAGGGTGTTTGACAAGAACGTAGTGAGCTGTTGGGGACCAGTACGTATTGAAGTCACTGGGGACCTGACATTCAGGACAGTTACAGTGGTCCGGGTCCCACCCGTCGGGCGGCCCAACCTGCCCCGCCCTGGGGGAGGGAGCTGGGAGGCCCCCCTGGAAGGGCTGTCCGCCGTGCATGGGCCCAGGGCCGGGTCTCCCGTTGCAGGAAGCCATCAGGCATTTCCGCAGGCCGTGACCCCGATAATGGACGTGTTGGAGCAGGTTGGAAGCCCCACAGGAGGAAATTGCTGGAATGAGCTCCGCTCTGCACCCTGCCGACAGTGGATGGGGAGAGTATGTTTCTCGAGGTAGAGAGACACTCCTGTTTAGGCTCCTGGAAATAACGGGTCCCAAACGTGTGTACGGGAGATCATGCGTGTGTGCTGTGCGTGCACACACACAGACATGCACGCACACACGCATGCACGTCTGGAAGGAGATCACCCCATTTTAACCGACTCTGGATGGTACAGTTACGGTTTTTCAAAAACATTCTCCCTCGTACTTCAGACTCTGGCCTGGGGTTCCCACAGAGGCACAGGCTGCCCATCGTCTGGTTCTTTTAAGTAACAGGAGCTGAGATTCCCCAAATGAAAGCCTACCCTCGTCAGTCAGTTAAGAACCGTTGCTGCTTCTTGGGATGCTGGTTGTGTCCGCGTGAGTGAGAACCACGTGCCGTGCTCGGTGCACAGCTGCGCTCTCCGCGTGGGCCTTCCTGGCCATGGGGTGGCCGTACTTCCCTTGGCGGCATTGGGGAGGCACCCGATGGGGCTCCCCCACGCCCCGCCCCCTCCAGGTCTCCACCCCACAAAACCGAGGTGCCAGCAGCTCACCCTGAGTGCCGGCATCTGCGCGGGGACCCCACTCCCACCCCTGAGGCCCTGGGCCGGCCCATTCCTCCCCTCCGCATCCACACCTGGCTTCCACTGTGAAGCCAGGAGCCCTCCCGGGATCTCTCCAGAGTCGTCTTTTTGTTGTTGTTGCTTTTTTGCTTTCACTTGGTTCGATGATAATTTTGCTCAGACACTTACTGGGTAAGGGAAGGATTCCAAAGACCCAGCCCCATTGCTGGTCCTACCGGTAGCGGCGGCTTCCAGGGCCGAGCAGGAACTGACTACAGATGAGGAGCCGAGTGGCTGTGACCTCACGCAGGCATTCAGTGTCCAGGAGACTGATGTTACTGTGTCGGGAAAGGACCGGCAACCTGCTGTGTGGGGCTTGCTGGGGGGAGGAAAATGCGGGGTCCCTCCTTCAAAAAGTATCAAGGCTTTCAAGAAGGCGACAGTAGATCGTTAAAGGGAGCATAAGCCTTCCTATAATCGGGGCCCAGTGTGAATCTCTGGGCAGCTGGCTAGAAGGTTCTAGAGTTACTAACTCGGGAAACTCGTTTGGCCCCTGCTTCTGGACGGGGCGTGTCAGGGTTTGCCTGCAGAGGGTGGCAGGCGGTGGGATGCCAGGAGCCCATGACTGTGGGTCCCGGAAGCCCGTGACCCTTCCGTGATGCACTGCCGTCACCTGGCGTCCCACCTTCGTGACACCCGCTCTCTCCCCTCCCGTGCACAGAAGTTCATCGAGTTTGAAGACGCCCTTGAGCAGGAGAAGAAGGAGCTGCAGACCCAGGTGGAGCACTATGAGTTCCAGACGCGCCAGCTGGAGCTGAAGGCTAAGAACTACGCAGACCAGAGTAAGCAGGCGGTGGGAGCCGCATCGGACTGTCTGTGTCGTTCCCCGCCTGGTCCCGGCTCGGGAGGGGCTAGGGAGGGAGAGAGAGAGAAGCCAGCAGCCGTGTTTTCACCGGGATTCCCTCAACCATGCATTTATGCCTGTGCCCCGCCAGGTGTGTCTGTAGCCGGCCTCTGATCCCGGGTGGAAATAAATAAATGAGGCCCCTTTGATGACAGAGCATTTTCGCTGAGAGTCAAGGCCGGGGCTGGACTGCGCCAGGCCCTCCGTGGAGACCCCTGTTGTGGCGTGGCTCCTGTCTGTCCGCCACTGGGGGGGATGCTGCTCCTGGGCAGTCAGCTCGCCGCCCACCGTGGTGGCCCTTCGGGGCAGGGGTGCGTGGCTGGCGGGGCCTGCGGGAGCACCCTGTCCCTCGCAAAGAGAGGCAAGGAAAGTGATTTGGGTGATGATTCTAAGAACTATTATTTCCGTTTTCACGAGTCTTGTTTAAATTTTGTGGCCAAAGTTTCCATGAACTCTCAGTGGAAGTTTCCATGACAGGATCTAATGTGCTGCTTTCCCTGGTGACCCCGGACAGCAGGTCCCTTCATCTCTCAACCTGGGGGAAGATGATCTGATGTGCCGGGTCTGTCCCTCTCCCAGACCAAGACTCGAGGGCCCGTGGCTAAGGCTAGCGCCCCATGGCTGGGTCAGAGACTCCCAGACAGCCACGGGCCCAGCAGCCCCTGTACGCCTGTGGTGTTTGCAAAATGAAAGCAAACCAAACGGCCCGTTGTAGGCATACGGAGGGAAACGCTTTCCGTTATCACACAGAGCCCTAGAGTACTGTGCAGATACGAAACCTTTCTGGCTCTTCTTAGAAGGAAAACAATAGAAACTCCAAATTATCGGCTGAAGTTCTTTATTCAGTGGCAGCAGGACCGAGAGCCGGAGGAGGGGAGAGCAAATGCGTGGCTCCTTCGGCCAGGTGGCGGCCTGCACACCTGCCTAGCAGAGAAGGCCAGGAGGAAGGGCCTGCTGCACACACGGGCTGCCCCTCCCAAGGCAGGAGCAGAGGCTGGGGGTCAGGTGGTCCAGCCCTGGGGTACAGGCAATGCCCTGCAGCCCTGCAGTCTGCACCGGCCATCAGCACGCTCCACGAGCCTCCTGAGCCTCAGACCCCCACGTCCTGTGACGCCCTCGCTGCTCCCGGGAGTGTGGCCCCAGAGAGCTGCACAGAGACGCCAACTCGGAGGCCCCTGCTGTGGGGTGGGGGAGCGCGGCCCCTGCGGACACCACAGAACAGGAGAGCATATGGACTAAAGCCAGATGTGGACCGGTGTCACCTGTTAGATCTCAGGAGGGAGGGTGGGTGGGAGGCGGGTGAGCCCGGCGGACCACACCTGTGAGTCCCCTGACGGTCACAGGTCCCGCCTCACTCTGTGCGTCAGTCTTCTCCACTTGCTGGGGCCATGGGGACACAGTGGAAGTTCGAACAAGGGCCCAAGGACGGAAGGTGTCCGAGGCTGGCACGCTCACCCGGTGATGGGAGGCAGGGGACAGGAGGTCCAACAGGCCCGCTGACCGGTCAGGTGACCCACCCGTTGAGAGTGGAGCACATGCAGGGCCCGCGGGGGCTCCCAGGCACCACCCCTGCTGGCCAGGATGCCACGGCCATGGCTTGGTCTGCAGCCCTTGGCACGTGTCGGGGACGCTTGCTTGTTCCGTGTCACGTGGCAGATGGTCCTGGGCTCTCCCACGCCACAGAGGCCACGACCACAGGAACTGCCCCTTTCTACGACCCCTTACGTCTTGTCTCCGCCGGACCACAGCGAGCTCCCTGCATCTTGGGAGCTGTCGCCACACGGGCCCAGGTAGCAGCCCCGGGTGGGCTGAGTCATCCTAGTTCCCTCGGCAGAACTGAACACCCTCCGGTAACACAGCACGCAACCACGTGCCAGCCGGACCCCCAGGATCCGTCTTCTCGTGGCCCCGGGGTCTCTGCTGGCCATCCCCATCTGGGCTGGTGGGCCACTGCGGTCTGCACCAGGCTTCAGTCTGTCCTGGCACAGACGGCCCGAGGGCAGGTGCGGAGGAGTGGGGAGGTGGGTCGTGGCGTTGACGGGCAGTGGCTGTGTCTTACAGTTTCCCGGTTGGAGGAGCGCGAGTCCGAGATGAAGAAGGAGTACAACGCTCTGCACCAGCGACACACGGAGGTAAGTGCCTGGCCTTGATCTGCGCGCAAGGACGTGGCTCAGCCCCGCAGCTGGCCTGGCTGGCCTTCCTGGCCATTTTTTTTCTGGCTTCTGCTGCCCAGCCAAGGAGCTCTGCACTGCTCAGACTCCACAAACGTGTCTCTGCTGCTGCCAGGGCGCCGCGGGCTGGAGGGCAGACGCCTGGGTCAGCAGGCCTGACTCACACGGCACATGTGTCCGGTCACAGATGATCCAGACCTACGTGGAACATATCGAGAGATCCAAGATGCAGCAAGTGGGGGGAAACAGCCAAACCGAGGGCAGCCTGCCGGGGAGGAGGTAAGGCGGGAAGCGGGCGGCAGCGGCCTCTGGTGGCCCGTCATCCCCGGGGGGCTCTGGGCTGGAGGGGGGCTTTGGGGAGCTGCGTCCGCCTGTCCAGGAGAGGGGTCGGATCGGAGTGTGTGCCGGAGCGGGAACGTGTGTGCACCTGTGCCGGGCAGGGCCCTCTGCTGGCCGCGAGCAGCCACGAAGGCCTGGGGAAAATGGGTGGTCCCCCCCCCCCGTCATCTCAGATCCCTTGTTTGTGGGTTCACCCGCTCGCTCAAGTTTGTGGCCTCGACATCAGCCCTCCTGGGGCTTCTGTGGTCACGTGCGGGCAGGTGCAGAGACACCCGCGCGTGGCAGCGGGAGGGGCGGTGCCAGGTGCGCAGGACGCGGGCGCGCCAGGGCCATCGGGTGAGGTCGGAAGCCCAGCTCCAGCCCCCGTCCTTGGGGCCACGTCGGGCAACTCACCACACGCTTGCGCACCTCGCTTTCTCCTTTGCAGAATGCAGCAGGTGTCACCCAGCCGCAGGATTCGGGAATCAAGGTTCTGATTTCTGTGAGACGTGGGTCTCTGTGCGGGAGCTACGGCTCCTTACCCACCGATCCCGGGCTGTCCTGCCTCTAGGCCTTGACTGGCTGGAGTCACGAGAACTGGGGAGGAGGCGGGGCCGCCAGGCAACCCTCTGTACAGCCATTCTGGCTGCGGGCTAGAGCGACACCCCCAGACGCTGGGCCCTCGCTGGTCTGCTCCAGGAGCTCCGCGGCTCTTACCTGCAGGGAGGGGGGCTGAGCTGCACCTTCTGAGCCTTCGGTCAGGGAAGGACTGGACCACGGTGTGCAAGGGGCAGACTGTCTACAGGCTTCTCCAGGGTGTTGCCAGCTTGTGGGACACCAAGGTCATCGACCTGGGCCTGGGCCTGGGGAGAGGGTACCGATGTCTCAAATCCCAGTAGGTAGGAGGAGGAGCCGGAGGCCCCACAAGCGAAGCAAAGCTCTTGGTCCCTTTGTAGCCATAGCCCCTCGTTCCTACAGACCAATGCCTGAGCGCTGTCACGCCCCGTCCCCGCAGAAGCCGTCTCCGGCCTGTCCATCGGCTGGTGTGCTGCGAAAACACAGGCTCAGGCCCTTAAATTGCGTGTCGCCAGCCACTGTCTGGGCCCAGGGGCAAAGCCCTTGCCTCTGTGTGCTCGAGGTGCCCGACTTGAAAACAGAAACACGGAGTGTGGTGCGAACGCCGGGCGGGACCTGGGAAGGTGGGGGGATGGCGGCACGCTTCCCGACAGTCCCAGGATTTTAGCGGACCCGTCCCTGCTGCACGTTCACGCCCTGGGCTGCTGGTGGTGACCCTGCATCTGCTTGGGGGGGTATGGACTGGGCAGTTTGGAGGACAGAACTCTGTGGTGTCACTCCTGAGTCGTGACCGCCTGAAGCGAGGGGAGTAACAGCCTCCCGGCTCCTGGCTCCGGAGTTTCTCTTGAGAGCACTGCGACCTGCTCGCCCCCTGCACTCGGAACTCGCCGGGAGGATTTCTGAGTGACTGCACGTGAATGCTGACCTGGGGAGACGGGGGCCTGCATTCTGGGGGGGTTGGGCAGGGCCCTCTGCGCTGGGGCTGCGGTGGCTGGGCAGTTACACATCCTTGATGAACGCTGGGCTTGCGGCCAGTTCCTGAGAGCGGCAGCATTTGGAACCTTTAGGCTGATTTCCTGCCACAGGCTCCCTTTAAGGCTGGAGCACCTCGAAGGTCATGAAGGAGAGCGCCCAGCGAGAAGGGCCTGGTTCTCCCAGAAGCCAGGGAGGTGGGCTGTCTGAACTCAGGACTTGTCTTAGGACCCTATGGCTAGCACCCTGGGGGCCTGGGGATGCCACAGAAACTGGTGTCCCCACAGCCCCAGGATGACATGGGCTCAGCCCAAACCAGAAGTTGCTTAGGCGCCAAAACTGGGCCCTGAGCTTCCCGGCCATTACTGGGGCTGTCCCTGGGGCCATGTCAGGCCTTGTTTCCTCCTGCCATGGAAGAGGGTCCATGAGTGCAACGGGGTCACTCTCTGTGGATGTCTCCCCGTGCACCGGAGACAGGACCTGGTCTGGGAGCCTGTGGTCCCCTGTGTCTTGGCCCTGAGGCAGTCTGGAGCAGACCCGGCCCCAGGCCCCTCAGTGCTCCCTGTGCTTGGAGTTAGGCTCCGGCCGGTTGTGGCTGTCACCCTTCTGCTGTCGGGACTCTCGCTCAAGAGGGGCTGGCTCAGGTCCCATCTGGGATCCGCTCAGAGGCTACGCAGCAGCTCTTGGAGCCGTGTGTGCTCTCCTCCCTCAGGGCACAGGTCTGTTCTACCTGCTGCCTGGACGTGCCCACTGGTCACTCCTGGGCGGGGTGGGCCTTCACCGCCTCCGGGGACGGCTGTCCTGGCGGGGCTTTTCTCCACACCCAGCCGAGGCCCACGAGAGCCCCTTCATTTGTAAAACGGACACAACGGATGCCTAGGAGAGGGAGGGGCTCTGGTCCAGATTCCCACGGAGGGCGCCCAAAGGCTGGGCGATCGGCGTGCTGTCCAGGCTCGCCGCACTCTGGTAATAGGCCTTCCCGGGCCAGAGCACCAACACGTGCGAGAGATTCCTGCCGCAGGAAGAAGGCACCTGGTCTGTCAGCTGACACCCTCTGAGGACATGGCCCGCCTCCACCGTGTCCCCTTGGCCATGAAGAGGAGCGTGGCTCTGTGGGGTGGCGGCCGGAGCAGCACTTGCCTGGGGCTGAGGGGTGGTGCTGTGGGTTCAGGCTGCCCCGTCGCCTTGCTGGCCCGCCCCCCGTGTGTGCCTCGCTCACTGGCCCACGGAGCCGGCCACCCGCTGGGACTCAGGCTCACGCCACCCCTGCAGCTGCTTCCCCGTGGCCCAGACGTTCTGGGGGCGCTCTGTGCGTGTCTGGCCGCCCCCCCGACGCTCGCCTGGGGAAGGCGGGCGGAAGTGGAGGAAGCAGGAGCCTTCTCCCGCCGTGCTGAGTGCTGGCCTCTGTCGCCGGCGCTGCTGCTTCTGTGGGTTACAGGAAGGCCGCCCCGCGTGCGGGCCTGCTTCCTTGGGTGTCCCCTGCCTTGCCACAGCTCTTTGGGGAGAAAAAAGTACGTGTGCCCCAGCTCCCTGGTTCAGTGTCCCCGGCTTCCGCCAGGGGCCTCATCCTTAGTGCCAGGATCCGCTGTCACCGCCAATCCCAGACGGGTTTTCCTTCACTCCTGGCCTGGTGTTCTCAATGCGTGTGTCTTTAGAAACCCTGGTTAGCGTGCGTGGGCCCACGAATGTGAGCGTGTGTGTGCCTGAGCACACATGTGTGCCGGGGCTCTCCGGAGACGACACTCGCCCACCGCCCTGTACTGAGTGTGTGTGCCAAGCCGTGGGCCGGCGGCTCAGTGGAGAGGTCACGTGTCTGAGTGTCCTGTGTCTGTCGTGTGCACATCTGCGTGTCTCCACGTGTGTCTGCGCGGAGCGGAACCCACTGCCGTGCACTCACCCTCCATGTGAGCGCGTGTGACCTGTGTCCCCTGACCTGTGCCTTCTAATGCTGTCTTCTCGTCTCGCCCGCTGTGCTGTTGCCGCTGTGTGCTGCCCTTGTGTCTGTCGCTGCCCTCCAGTCCTCGCCAGTCGTGGAGGAAAAGGTAAAGCCTGGCCAGCGTTCATGCTGCTGTGCGGGGCGCTCGGGGTGCCCTGGGGCTTGGGAGAGTCGGTCCTGCTGGTGGTTCTTACTTGTAGGCCCAGGGCTGGTCCTTGAACTGCTCGACAGTTTCTCTGCCTCAATATTACGGATCAAAGACACTCGATGTGGCTCTTAGAGGCCAGGCCGTGGAGACGGGCGAGACCCAGGTTCCCAAGACAGCCCCAGACTAGGTAGTGGCGCAGGGACCCCAGCCCGGCGAACATCCGTGGTCACAGGTCGGACCTCGGGCCCGAAGCCCTGGGCTGGCGCTGCAGGGAGGCGGCGGGCAGGGGTGGAGACCCGCACTCTGGCTTCGGACAGACCTGGGCCCGGAGCCGGCTGCGTGGCCGTGGTCCTTGCAGGCACCTTGACCTCTGTGGGCAGCGCAGTTCCCCCGGGCTGTAGCTTCTGGACAAGCATCGGCATCTCCCAAAGGAGCAGCAGCAGGAGTGCGATAAGAGACGCTGTGGCCGAGCTCTGGACAGGTGTAGGCCTCCAACGGCAGTGCCTGCACGTGCTCCCAGGGCTTGTGGCGCAGGATATGCATGGCTCTGTGAGGAACAGAGAGAGAAGATGAGACTCGATTCCTGGGGACGACAGCTGTTGCTTGGGGCCAAGGGCCCTGCTCTACATTTCTCCCACGGTGGGGCTGGGCCCCAGGAGAGGGGCTCCCGCACCGACAGTGGGAGCCCAATGAGGAAGAGTGGGCAAAGGACAGGCCTGGGGACCTCGGGGGAGAGACGCTGGGGTTGTGGAGGCTGGGCCCCTCCTCCAGGGACATGCTGACCACACGGCGGCTGGCGCCTTCCCAGACACCGGGGAGCGTGCAGGCTGGCGGCGGCCAGCAGCCTGAGTGGGCAGAGCCTCGGGCCTGCTGAGCTACGGATGCACCTGCAGACTCAGCTGAGACGTGCATGAGAGAGGACGTGTCCTCTGTTGCGGGACAAAGGCTGCATGTGAGGGGCCTATGATCGTCCACAGGAAACCAGCCTCCTGGTGGCCCGGGCCCCGACATGTGGAGGTGCCAGCGGCTCCAGTCTCTCGGGAGCACGCAGCTGCTGCTGTGGCTCCGTGCCTGCCGCACGCCAGCCCCCGAGACCGCGCAGCCCAGGCCCAGCTCCGTGGGAGGCAGCGTCTTGCCGAACAGGACACACCGGCCAGCCTTGGATGGGACGAGGCAGGACTCCAACCCAGACTCTGTGTTTTCTCCCTGCTTCAGCTCAGCCCCAGCCGGCCCCCAGAACCACACGGGGGCCCCAGCCAGAGGGCCCCCACTTCCCAGGGCTGTGCTTCAGGAAGCCGCCTGCCGGGCCATGGGCAGTTTTCGTGGGCGTGACCGCTCCCCTTCTCCGGTGCCTCAGGGACGCCGCCCACCTTCTCTCTGCAGACTGGTCCAGCCTCTGGGCCTGGCTGCCTGAGATTCCCAAGGAAGCGTCCACCGGTCCCCACACCGCAGTTGTGGGGGTCGAGCTCTGTGTGCGGGTCTCTGATGCTTGACCGTGACGGCTCTTAGCGGCACGGGCTGTGAGGTAGTTGGCCGGCTCTGGGGTGCGCCGCGTCCTTGTGGGGCAGCACAGGGAGCTGGCCTGGCTGCACACCTGCTGGCGCCCACGCTGAAGGGAGCGTCTCCTGGGGGACCAAGCCCAGCAGGCGACCTGCCACTCCCCGTCTCCTGGCGCGCCTTTGAAACACACCCCTCTGGGGTTCCTGGGGTCCCCGATGACCGGGAAGAAATGCATGGAGCAGGAGAAAGGGGGCCCCGTGGGCTGTAAAGGACACGACACCCACAGAAGGATGGGGCCCTCTTTCCTCTGTACGTCTGTGCTGATGATGTACACCGAGAGCTCACAAAGGAGCAGTGCAGGGTTCAGGTGGGGGCAGAGAGCAAAGAGCCGAGCGGAAGGGTTGGTTCCTCCTGCCCAGTGCCAGGAGGCAGAAGCTGGGCCGATGGCCACCCAGAGGCAGGTGTGGGCTACGCATGGGAAAGACCGTCACGGTGGACGTCGCCGCTCAGGAGCGCTCTGTGCCGGCCGCAATGCTGAGGGGGCTGTGCTGGTGCTGCCGTGGGAGTTTTTAGCCTGTAGGGTGGCTCTCTGTGGCAGCAAGCTAACTAAAGACAACGGCACTGAAGACAGTGCACCCAAGAGGAGGGGCCCCTTAGGCCCGCAGAGCAGCTGAGGGGCCCTGAAACACGGGCACAGCTTTGGTGACATGGGACCCATAGCTCCGGGTACAGTGGCCCCCGTGCAGGCCGGGCTACCCTGGAGCTCACGCCCCGCCCCGCACGCCTGGCCCTGATCCCGAGTGGTTCGGTCTGCGGGGCCGGTCCCCCCGTGTCCAGAGAGCCTCCAGTCCTCCATGTGGGAGCCCCATGTAACATCCGCTTTCTTCTTCTCTCCCTCACATTTCAGCAGGAAGGAGCGCCCCACCTCTCTGAATGTCTTCCCCCTGGCCGACGGCATGGTACGTGCACAGATGGGGGGCAAGCTCGTGCCTGCGGGGGACCACTGGCACCTGAGTGACCTCGGCCAGTTCAGCTCCAGCTACCAGGTTTTGTAGTCGTGCCGTGGAGTGAGGGTCCCTCCCTGTCACCCATGCTCATTCAGGAAGCGTCTTTGTGTACAACCCTTTGCAGCTCCCCTGCCCCCGCCCAGGGTAGTGGGGCTATGTGGAGGTGTACCAGCTCCGGGGGAGAGCACCGGCTTGGGAGGTCCAAGTCTTGGACGGGGCCTCTGCAGCCAGGGTGCACCCGTCTGCTCCGGCCGAGCGAGCCTCTGCTCTAGGGCACAAGCATGTCTACCCCCAGACCCCCCCAAGGCACCAGCCCTGAGGCCAGCCTGGGCTCCAGCCCAGAAGGTCTTGTAGGCTGGTGTCTGAAGTCTGCGCTTCTGCTGGGAGAGGGTAGGGTCAGCATCCCTGCTCTAGATGCTCCTCCCTGCCTGTCCGTGCTAATGACCGCTGGGTCTCTAAGTCCCAGGACGTGGCCGTCCCGGGTGTGTGTGGCTAACCAGGGAATGTGTCCCTCAGTGAGGCCCCCCTCAGAAAGCCAGGAGCAGGGACTCTGCCTGGCCTGCCGCCCGCTCAGGGCCCATGGTCACTTGCGGCGAGTGTTGGTCTGGGAGCTGAGCCCTGCCTTCGCCAGACAGGCCCTGGTCATGTCACCAGGTAAGGATAACACTCTTGGGGCTAGAGGAAGCGACCCCAGGCCTGGGGCACTTCCCATAGGGGCTGTGGGAGGTCACCTGCGGAAGGCAAAGCACCTGGGACTCCGGACCTGGGCCAGCCGGCGGATGTGGGGCTGGGCCTTCTCCTGAAGCTTCCTCCTGCTGCAGCTTGTGGCTGATCGTCCCTCTGTCCCTGGGTGTCCAGCCTGCCTGCCAGAGTCGGCTTCAAGCTGCCCACCATGGGAGATAGTGACCCCACTCACTTCAGCTTCGGTTCCAGACCTGGGCATGTCTCTGCGACCTCTGACCCAGGCGCTCACCGACCCCCGTTATAGGCTGTCCTGGCCGTGTGGGGTCCAGCCTGTGGCTGGGGCTCCGGTGCCCAGGGAAGCCGTGGGGGCTGCTGAGGCCGGGGCCCGGGAGCTGGGGCTCCTGCCCGCGGCCAGGCCGGCTTTCTTCCCGCGTCTCTCCTGCCGCGTCACCCGAAGCGCTCTTGCTTTTCAACCCGCTGTTTTCTGTTTCAGTTTGTGCGTGTGTTCGGTTTTTTTTTTTCAGTCACGTTTACGTTCTTTTATTTCATGTTTTAGATTTTAAGGTCTTTCTAATTTCTTCATTTTTTTTTGTTTTGTTTTGTTTTGTTTTTTGTTTTTATGTGCTGTGTTTTCAGTGTTTTAAGCAAACAGTTGTGGCACTCATGGTGAGGAATGGCCGCTAAGAGTTTGGGCCCTTTGCATTTGGAGGTCACTGCCACACCTTGGTGTTTAGGAGGTTGAGAGGTTTGCTGCTAGGTAAGTGGTGGCCAGGGGAGCGCCCTGTGGGTAGATGGCGGCCTGTAGGGTCAGGGAGAGCCAGGGACTGGGGGAGGCCAGGCTGCGCTGCACGGTTCCCCTCGGTGACTTCTGGGGTCAAGGAGGTCCACTGAGAACCCGCAGACCCGAGTTGGCCAGGCACAGGCCGGCGGGAACCACGTCCTTGCGGAAGGTGGTCTAGAAAGCGCGTGCTTCTGAGCAGCGTGGACTCGCATCGTTGGCCTCCCCTGGTCCTCGCCAGACTTTCCCAGGCCTCTGGTCTCCTGTGGCCATTTCTCCTCAAGTGCTGGCAGCAGAGGCGTCCCTTGCCTGTAGGACACCCGGGAGCCTCTGCCACATGGGGTGGACAGACACTGGGGCAGCTCCCTCACAGAGGCTCTCAGGAAAGCACTTTTCCTTCTCAAGTCAGCCTTAAGCTGTAGAATCCAGGTAGAAAATGCTTGTACCAGGGAGCTTCCAGGGAGAGAGGCACAGGCTGTCCTGCGGGGCACAGTGCCTTTGCACATCAGCGATCTGGGCCAGTGGTCCTCAGCTGTGGAGGTCGTCCGGTGGCCTGCAGGACAGTGAGCAGACACTCCCCACCTCCACACGTCCCCGTTCGTGACAGCCACAGGTGTTCCCCCGACACCGCCAAGCATCCCCTGGGGATATGGCGGGCCCGGTTGTGGAACAGTGAGAGTCCTGGCAGAGAAGTGTGAGGCGCGGTTAGACAAAGCCCGACTGGCTGTCCCAGGTCCTGGCCTGATGCTGACCACGCGGGTCAGGAAGTGGCAGGTGTCAGGGATTCCCAGCTATCTCTGCCTCCCGGGCCCCCATAGGCAGCCACGGGAGCCTGGTCAGCCCTTCCCAGTGAAGGTGAGGGTAGGTTGGTCCCAGCGTATGTCCAGCTTTACAGAAAGGGCTGGACACCCCCTGCCATCAGCTCCCCCCAGGCAAGACAGAGCTCCCAGAAGCACTGTTTCTGTGGAAACCACGTGACCCAGTGCTGTGGGCCCGTGGGGTGTGCACCGGGAGCAGCAGCCCCTCCTGAAGCCATGCCCCTTCTCTGCACCCCGAGAGGGCAGCAGGGTGTGCGGGGGCTGCTGCCCACTGAGGACCGAGTCGGGGTGAGTCGGGACATCAGTGTTAGTAGACGAGTGGGCCGGTTCACGGGTTCTGTCCACCGCTGCTCGAGGAAGGACTGTGGGAGAAGATGGCTTTGCTTCCTGTGCTGTCCTCACGAACACAGAATGTGCTCTCTCCAGGGAGGTTCTGATTTTTGTTCTTTTGTTTGTTTGTTTGTTTCTTTATTTTTTTTAAAGACTTTGATTTTTTTTTTTTTTTTTTTTTAAGTAATTTCCACACCCAGCACGGGGCTCGAGCTCACGACCCCGAGATCAAGAGTCGTGCGCTCCACCGTCGGAGCCAGCCAGGCGCCCCCGCAGGGAGCTACTTAAGGTCAACAGCTGATTGCGGGTTCTCATAATCTCGCCTCCCTTGGAGTGCTTGGAGGAGGACCCATTCCCTGGAAGTGGGACTCCAGCTTGACCGCATATACGTAGATGCACAGGGCAGGCCTTGAGGTCTACTTGAGCCTTGGGGGTTAAGAATTACACATTTCCTGGTGTCTATGCTCGGGAGGTTGGCGCCCCTTCCCAGACTGGGCCCAGCGCGGGGAGCAGGAGACGGCAGCAGCTGGCCACGGCCGGGACGGCCTGATCGGAAGGCGCGCTCGGTCTCCTCCCTGGTCCCCGTGCAGAGCCCTTGGCCCCGCCCCGGGCTGCCCCTCGTTTGTGACCACCCCCGGCTGCAAAGGGTTGCTTGCCGTGTCTGTGTAGCTTCATGTTCATCACATGCGGCATCGGCGGGCCGTCCCGGGGAGCGGGCAAGCTGAGGGCCCCAAGCCAAGCCCTTTCCGTAAGGAGACTGTGGCAGCCAAAGAGCCCGCGGCAGCGGCCGAGCGGGCCCAGGCAGTGGGCCGGAGAGGGCAGCGGGGCTCCTCCTGTGCCCTCCAGTCCCGGCTCAGGATGCTGTATTACCGTGGCTAGAGCAGCCTAGTGAGGAGGCCTCATGGAGATGGCCGAGGCCCCTGCTGACCCTGCACGGTGTGGGTCACCGGGAGCCTCGGGGGCGGCCGACCCACATGGCGAGCTTCTCCCTTCTTGTGTTTGGCCCTAGTGTCCACAGGATGATATGTCCGAGTCAGGCCAGTCTTCGGCGGCTGCCACACCCAGTACCACCGGCACCAAGTCCAACACTCCCACGTCCTCTGTGCCCTCGGCCGCGGTCACACCGCTCAACGAGAGCCTGCAGCCCCTGGGGGACTACGGCGCCGGCACGAAGGGCAGCAAGCGTGCGCGGGAGAAGCGCAACAGCCGCAACATGGAGGTCCAGGTCACGCAGGAGATGCGGAACGTCAGCATAGGTGCTGGGCCGGCGGCGGGCTTCTGGGGCTGCGGTGGGGAGCGCTCATCCACCTGCCCCTGCTGCCCCGCCCCATTGTCCCCGCCCCCTGCTGCTCTGCCCCCCACGGTCCCCCCCCCACCCCGGGTTTCCCTTCCAAATACGGATATTTGGATCTTCGTTTGGGCAGATATATCAGTCCCCTCAGGCCACAGTAACAAAACAGCACAGACCAGGTGGTTTAAGCCACAGACACTTGCTTTCGCACAGTCCTGGAGCCCAGGAGTGAGCGATCTAGGTGTCTGGGTGTCGGGGCTGGCTCCCCTCGATGCTCGCTCCTGGCTGTGCATAGGGCCTGCGTCCCCAGCCCTTCCTCTCATGAGGGCACAGATGTCAGATGGAGTCAGGGTCCGCCTGTGTGGCCTTATTTGACCCGCTACCTCCTTAAAGGCCCCATCCCAAATGCAGTCCCACACTGGGGCTATGACTTCAACACGTGGATTTGGGGTCACACTTGGCCTCTGGCAGTGCACCCCATCCTCCCGCAGACTACTCAGTAGAGGAGGGGGGAGGAGAAGAGGACATTTGGTGTGTTCATCGGAGGTCATGAGAAAGAGCCGTGGTTCCGGGGCATGGGCCCCAGCTGGCCACCAGCCAGGGAGGAGCCCTTTCCTGAAGGTCCCTGGCTGGCGGTGGTCCAGTGTGGGGTGTCCAGACATGGGGCCAGTGGGTGGGCGTCCCCCCAACCCTGGGGTTCCCGTGTGTCCCCCAGGCATGGGCAGCAGTGATGAGTGGTCTGATGTTCAAGACATCATCGAGTCCACCCCAGAGCTGGACATGAGTCGGGAGCCCCGCCTTGACCGCATGGGCAACAGGTAGTCACTGGGTCTGGCCAGTAGGGTGGGCTCCATGTTTACCGTGGGCATTGGGCCTTCGGCAAAGGTGTCCCCTGTAGCCTTGCACAAGCAGCGTTGGCACGAGTGGCCCCATGGGCGGTGTTGGAGGCCCCCGCACACGGCCGGTGCTCGCCGGCCCTCAGCCTGAGCTCCCGGCTGTGCGTCCTCACAGCCCAACCCAGGGGATCGTGAACAAGGCTTTTGGCATCAACACGGACTCCTTGTACCACGAGCTGTCGACTGCGGGATCGGAGGTCATCGGGGACGTGGATGAAGGAGCCGACCTGCTAGGTAAGCCCAAGCCCCCCCCGGGACCCCAGCGCCTGGAATTTGTCTTTGTTTCTCTAGCTGTAGCGGAAGCAGTGTCTCTGTCAGCCGTGAGCCAGGAGCTTCTCACGGTTTTGTCGAGATGTATCATAAACGTACATCATCATAAAACATACCCACGTAAAGCATGAAGTTCTGTGGGTTTTAGAGTTCACACAGAGCTATGTTACTTCCTAATTTTAGAAGCTTCTATCTCTGAAAATGAAACCGTGCCCTTGAGCGCTCAGCCTAGGTAGTGCTCTAGTAGTTCTCCTCAAAGGAAACGCCTGGACAGGGTCACTGTCTGCGAGCCCGTGGTCAGCCCTGGAAGGCCCTGCCCAGGTGTCGGAAATGGATGCAGAGACAGTCCCCCATGTAGACTCACTCCTGGTCCTCTTCCCTGTCCGGGGATGGGCGTCTGGCACCCCGGACGTCTGCTGGCAGCGCCCCGAGGCCCTCAGCACTGCAGGCGGGAAATCGGGTGCTCTCAGCGGCATGACTGTGTCCCGAGGCCCGGCTGCAGGGCAGGAGCTCCGGGACCCTAGAGCTGCACTGGGCCCCTGCCTCCCAGCGAGGTTGGCTGTGGGACAGAAGGTGGCTGTGTTGTCAGGGGACCAGTGGTTCTGTTTCGTCCTCTTCCCACACCATGTCCGTGGAGGCGGCTCACGGGGACGGGTGCTCCTCCCTTCCCTCGGCTCGGGCGGGGGCTGCAGCTGGGGCCAGGGCCGCCGCGTCAGTGAGGGGAGGTGCCGATTCCACCGGGGTGGGGGGGCACGTGAGGCCGTCTGCAGGCACTGTGGCCCGGACACGGCCGCCTCCTGCCCAAGGGGGCAGGGCTGCCGCCATCTGGGACTCTGCTGCCGGCCTTCCCGCTGCCGGCCCTCTCCTGTGATTAACACTGGGGACCGTTTGCCGTCGGGGACTTGAGGGCACTTGCGGAGTGTGTCTGTGTCCCGCTCAGCTGCTCTGTGTGGACGGCACCGTCTTGGTGGCTCGGCTGGGCTTCCAGCGGCAGACGCGGCCAGGCCTGAGCCCACGAGGGAAGGGCGCCAACAGGCGTTTTCTGTCGGGCACACTCTCGCTTTCTTTGCCTTAGGGCTTTGCCGGGTCGATTGCCTAACTTGGGGCGTGGGGATCTCCCAGGAACGCAGTTCCCCATGGCGCCAGCGCCAGCAATGTCTTGGGCCCAAAATGGAAGTTTTTTCCAGATAGTTTTTAAATTGTGGCGGAAAACACGTAATATGAAATTTACCTTCTCGCTGACGTTTGAGCGTACCGTTCTGTGTGATCCGGACGTCGGCCCTCGCTCGTGAGGCCAGGGGAAAGGGCAGGAGGAGGCCCGCCTTCGGCAGTGTGTTTCTCGTGAGATTTTTCTCCTAAGTGTAATAAAAACATTTATTTAAAAATAAACAAACTATTAACATTGAGAAAAAGTTACGTAGGGGAAATCACATTTAATATTGTGACACCCTGGCACTCTCCTTTACGGGCCTCAGGTAACCCTACATACGTTCTAGTTTTTGCTTTTGGAAAAGCAGTATGTGCTTCTAATAGTACTCAAATGTCAGAGACTGCCAACAGAGTAAAACCATGCGACCCCACGCCACTGCCGTGACGTCTGTTGTGACATGTCGGGGCACCTTTCCGCCCACCAGGGCGCACACGGTTCGTGGGCTGTGGGGGTCAGCTGGGCGCTGGCACCATTCCCCCGACCCAGTGGTATCCTCCACACGTGTCCCTTCACGGGACTGTAAGTTCTAAATTCCTCCACTCTCCTGGGCCTGAGTACTGCTGTGTGGCCATTGCTGTCGTAGATCCTGCGGTAGAAGCGTGTGCCCACCCTTCTGATGGCTTCTTTATGACAGATTTCTAGAGTGGGAGCCTCAGGGTAAAGGTGTGGGCTCCCGGGAATGGCCGCACACTGCTTTCCCGACGGGGCTCTGCCCGACCTTGCGCTGGCTGGGCGCAGGCGCTGACCCGCTGGGCTGGGGGTGGCCCGGGAGGGAACGTGCCTCAGCAGGGTTCCCACGGTGGGAGGAGGACGTGGTGGGTAGCCGTGCGTGCCGTGTGTTCACGACGGAGCACCGTTCTGCTGGGGCCCGCTGTGGAGGCTGTGCGGGTGAGAGGGCAGCACCCAGCAGGCCGCCGTGTGCTGGTGAGCGTTTGAGGACTTGATGAGCGATGACAGCCCTCTCCCTCGGAAGACACAGGCACCCAGCAGCGGAAGACACAGGCACCCAGCAGCTTGCATGTCCATGCCGGGCTCTGTAGGCCCAGCCTCACACGCCTGTTCCTGGCCATAGGTGGCTGGAGGCATCCCGTGGTGTGCTCAGGGGTGGGAAATGGAGTGTCCAGGAGGGGGCAGAGCTAGAGCCCGCCGGACCTTGCTCTGTGGCCGGTCTCCTCACGACAAGGTTCCACCCCGCAACATGGTCATGGGAAGAGTCCCCAGCATTGGACATGCACAGCCACCATTCATCTGGGGTAGCACTGTTGCCCGTGTGTTATGGAGGAAGAAACCAGGTCAGGGAGGGCGGGATGAGCAGCAGAGTCAGGACCCAAAGCAGGTCGGACATAGAGCGGCAGCCCCGACTGACCACCCGCTCTGCCTTTCGTCGCAGCTCTGTTGGCATGGGACACGCCGTACAGTTGGCCTGCTCAAGGTGCACGGCCCCGTGTCTTGGAACACGTGGAGCAAATTCCGAGTCAAGTGACCATCATTACGTTAGAAGACATTTCACCAGTAGAGGAGCCTCCTGCCCCCAGCCCCTGGCGGCCACTCCCCTGCTTCCCATTCTGCACAGCAGCCCCCTCTGAGCGTCTCATACCCGTGGTCCTTCTCCACGTGGCCTCTTTCCTCGAGCGTGATGCCTTGAGGTTTGCGTGTGTTGTGGAAGGTGTCAGAGTCGCGTTCCTTCTTATGGCTGAGGCTGGCATGTTGCCTGCTTAGGGCACACGTCACGTATCCATTTGTCCACGGATGGCCGCATGGGTCATTTCCACTCTCGGCCACTGTGGCCGATGCTTCCGCTATGCTTTTGCTTCCTCACGTGGTTCTACAGGATTACCGGTGCTAAGCAGCCTCCTCGCTGCCCGGTGGCTCTGGGTAGCCTGCCTGTTGGTCCCTACCATTGGCCACAGTCTCCCGCCTTGCCCTGCGGCTCCAGGCCATGGGGCTATCCCCTCCCTCCCATCTTCAGGGCTGTGGGGTCTTCTGGCATCACTCCAGATGCCACTGACCTAGAGAAACTGCATCGATGGTGATGGCAGGAAACGGGACAATAGGCAGTGCTTGTCAGTGAGCTTGACCTGCAGGCCACGGGGTCATGACTCCCAGGCAGATGTAGGACAGCTCCTAGAAGGGAGGTGGTGTCTGGTGAATGTCCTGGGGTCACTTCCCTAGAACAGAGAGTGCCTGTTGTGACCTTCTCGCGAGAAGACCTAACCTACGCATCTGCTGGGTCTTTGTTCTGAGAAAGCGGAAATCAGAATCCTTCCATCATCGAGTGACGGGTCGTGATTCACTGCGCGCTCAGCATGTGTCAATGTCCGTGGCCACCTTGGGCACTGCTTCACTCTGGCTACAGTGAGCCCCCATTCTTGGGAGTAGAGGAGCCTGCCAGAGCCTCAGGCACGACAGGCACCTGCCAGGCCGGCAGCACCAAGGGGTTAGGAGGGATTAGTGCCGTGCACTCTGCTGGCAGGGAGCCGAGCAGAGGAGCCCACCCGTCTTCTAGCAACGTGGAGGGAGGAGGTGGCCTCAGCTGCGGTCCCCTCACCGAGCGCCCGTTCCCGTCTGCCAGTGTACGCCATCAGAATGGGAGTCCCAATCCCCCAGCACCGTGTGTCTTTCTGAAGACAGCCGTCGGAGAGCTGGGTACCCGACCTGACCCAGTGGGGCTGCTACACGGAGAAGCCTGGGGCCGGCAGGGGCTCTGGTAGTCTCCATTCTGTGGCTGTTTTTGCCATGGAAAGGTCCTGTGGTCCCAGAAACGCAGCGGTGCCCTTGGCTCGGCTGAGGGGGGCACCCTTCAGCACTCTGGGTGTCTATTCAGGCCGCCCTTGCACCTCTCCCCATTTGGACCGTGAATTCCAGTAGCAGGAGAGCAGGGAAGAGACCCTGCGGAGGCAGGTCTCCTTGTGTCTCACTCAGCTCCCACCGCGGCTTGCCAGATGCACCGTGGTTGGAGAGATCTCCGGGAAAGCAAGGCCTTGCTACCAGTCCAAGGAGGACAGGCTGTTGAACGTGAAGCCTCGTCCAGTCCCAGAGGCACCTCCCTGCGACAGTGTGCCCCTTGGAGCCAGCGTAACTGGGGAGTAAGGGAATCCGTGCTTGGTGACCACTCGGTGAGGGCTGGGGAGACCGTGGGCCCCCTTCACAAGTGAGGGAGCTCAAGAGAAGCCAGGCAACTCGACTTAGAACCTGACGGACGGCACAGGCTGGCTGTGTGCTCTCTGCGGTGCTGTGCTCACGTCACAGGTCCCGCCCACGTGGCAGCCAAACCCAGAACGTGTGTAGAAATAACCTTGAGAAAGTCACAAACCTGTGTGAACAGAATTGGGAAACACGACCAAAGAGCAGGAAAGAGGTCTCGAAAACCAAGACCCGCAGGCCAAGCTGCGTGAGCCTCCCGTGACTCGCAGAGCAGCCCGTGGTGCCGGCGTAAATTCACTTTATGGATAGAGTCTGAAGTTCATCCAGGAGAGCAAACGTGAGAGTAGCCCAGAAATTTCTGAGAAAGAACCAGCTTGCAGGGTTGCCCGATGTTCTAAGCACAAAAGCTTCCATGCAGGTGGGACCAGCGACAGCCCCGCCGGGCCCTGTGAGTTCCTGGTGAGAGCGGGAGCCGTTGTGGGGACTTGGGTAGGACAGACGCAGCACTCAAAGCCGCTGGAAATATGGTAGATTCGTGGAGAAGAAGTCTGGTCCCCACCTTTGTACACAGACTTCTAGTTGGATTGAAGATCTGAACATAGAAGTGTGAGGTCGCAGAGCTGGAAGAGAGGTGGAGATTATGTTCCTGATCTGGGCCCCCCCTGTGGCCGTGGCTGCAGAGGAAAACACAGACCGGTGGGAGGCGAGCTACTTAAGAAAGATACATTGTTTCCCACCCACGTGATCTCCAGCCTTAACAGAAGTGGCCAACAATAGGGTGAGGGTTGGGTAAAAGGGGATTCACTGAAGATACCAACAAACGTACCTAAAGGATGCTCAAACTTCAAGAACAATCCGGAACTGAAAAGAGGACATGGAGATAACTGCTCCGAAGATCCGCACAAACGCAGCGGGTAATGCCGTGCCCCACGGCCAGGAGGTGGTGGTGTGAGGCCGCGGCGGGGTGCAGCCTGGCCGCTGGCTGGGGTCTCCGGGGTGGCCGCCGTTTTCTCCGGGGGGTGGGGGGGTGGGCAGAGGGTCGGGGAAACGGAGCACCTCGAGCGGGAGCATGGCTAGCCTGGTCGTGATTTTGCTCTTGAAATGCCAGTGTTGATCCAGAAGGAGTTCCCAGGAGACGAGCTGTTGATGGCGGCTGCCCTGGGAAGGAGCAGGGACGAGGGCATATCCGCCTCTGACCCAGGGCGCCTGTTTCTTGTTTAAATTCCGACACCAAACTATATACGTTGGTGTTTAAGTCAGGTGACTTTATACTATTGGCTTCTTTGGGAAGTGACCGCAGAGCGGTAGTGTTGTGGCCTGTCCCCAGCTGGGCAGCACAGAGGAGTTTGGACCCCAGTGAGGAAGGCACTGCCAGCCCCACACGCCTGCCGCCCCTGCTGCCTGCCCTCCCTCTCCCTCCCTGTCAGCCAGCCAGACCTGCTTCCTTTTGTCGTTGGGCGGCTCTCCCTGAGGTCGTGCCCTTCCTGAAGGACGCTTGGGCTGGAGCCTGTAAGGCCAAGCTCACGCACTCTAGGGCAGGGGAGGCGTCTTGAGCCTGGACACCCTGGGCATACTGCCCCACCCACCGACCCACGCACGCACACACCCCACGCACACGTGCACACACACACACCTGTACCCACACATGTACATGCACATGCATGCGCTTGCCCCACGCGTGCACATGCATACCTTACACGCGTGTGCGTGCACACACACACTCCCTCCCCTTCCCAGGTGTCAGCTGCAGAGACATCGCCCTCCCGAGGGCTGAGCAGGTGTGGGGCCCGGTGTTCTGGGTCCCTGTCTTCCTGTAGGGTTGCCATCCCCAGTGGGATTTACCACCCATGGGCCCGGTGACATCTGCTTGTACTCCTTCACGCCTTTCAATGTGGAGATGGCTGTTCAGCATTGTTTTTTGTTTTTTTTTTTTAAATATCTATTTTGTTGGTTCCAGTCGCCAACTGACCTTTGTCGCTTCCTTCCCCCCCGCCCTCGTCTCTCTCTGCTTCTCGGGACATGGCCCCAGGGGAGTTCTCAGGTGCGTATCTCTCCCGTCTGTCTGTCTGCGTCCCCCTCTGCCCACGGTAGCGTCCAGCTGGAGTGGGTCGGTGTCCTTGGGACACTCCCTGCTGCCATCCAGTCTCCGCTGGCTGTGCAGCCTGTCCCCTCCTGGTTCCTTTCCAGGCCACTAATACACACGTGCTTTTGCTCCCCAGCTCCCCTGCCGCTCGGAAGCTTACTTTGGTTTGCTCCACTACTTCCCACTGACAGTGGCCTTGACCCCGTCCTTTCCAAGGCCGGCCGTCCCCCAGTGCCATTTCCTAAGGCTCTATGGAGCCATCAGAAGCATGGGACAGTTCGGATGGGACCGCAGACCCAGTTGCGTGTTGTCTCCCCTCTGTCACATGTACCCCAGAAGTCAGGGGTCCTCTTCCCACACGGCAGAGGACTCAGTTCCTGCTTTCTCCCTCTCCTCCCAGCAGGAGAGCCCGAGCCCACCCACATGCACCCACCTAGTGTGCTAAAGCCATGCTGGCTCGCTGGGCGCCACTCTCCCTCATTTGCAGACACGCGCCCCTAACCCCTGCCCTTCCCGGCTCAGGGCTTGGGAGCACTGCTGACCCTCCACCTCACCACCCAGGTTCAGGCCTGGTGGTTTTTCCAGGAGGAGGAGCTGGCTCCATGCATCTCCTACCCCTCCATCCCGCTCCAGGGCGCACCCCAAACCCGGAGACCAGGAGCCCGAGTGGGCCACCCCCCTGCTGCTCACACAGGCTTAATGCGCTTCTTTTTTCTCCCCTCCTTCCGTCTCCCTGCCGCCCCGGCCGCCCGGCTCCCGTGGGACTGGGATGGCTCTCCTAGTGCACCATGATTTCTTTGGTAAGGCCAAGGCCCCATTTCAGTTTGCTTCTCCTGTTCCTTCCTTCCTCTGTGGGCCTCACACCTTCCTGCTTTGCGAACTGGTCGCTTCGCTCTGCGTGGTGGGGCAGCGGTGGGGCCAGCAGGGGCCACAGGCTCTCCTGGCTCCTAGCCCTGGGGTGGGGGGGTTGGTTTCAAGTCCCGATTCCCCAGCGCCCTCCCTCAGAGCAGACCCTGGACAAGCCGAGGGGCAGGAGCGGAGACAGCAGTCAGAGCCCGTACCCGGCACACCGCTTGCATAGGTCTTGTCTCACCGTTGTCCTTGACAGGGGCGAGTGATCGGGAAGGATAGACCCTGGGCTCTCGGGGCGGTCTGCCATCACGGCTGAGTGCCCGTATTTCAGAGTTTTTGCGACATGCCTGCAGACAGCTTAGCGGTGGGGTCCGCCTTGGGGCTTGGTATAGAGGAGCTGGGGGGACCCCTCTGGGCACCAACCCCAGGGAGTGCGGTCCTCACTTCCACTCGCTCCCTCCCTGCTGCTGTGCCCCAGGGAGGCCACCTGCCCTCCTTGGCCCCGAGCTCTCTGCCGTCCTGTGCTGTCTTCTCTGTCCCCATCACCACGGTTCCAACCACCGCTGTCCTGGGGACAGCTATGAGAACGGTTTGCCTCACGAAGGCCTCAGAAACCACAGGGCTAGGGAGCTGCTGACAGGGGACAGAGACTGAGGCCACCCGGTGGGGCTGGTGTCAGCTGAGCCCTCCCATGGTACACAGATCTCCCGTGGATAGAGTGTGTGCAGGTCAGCCGGGGCTGTCGTGCCCATCCACACGGGGCCGTCCGGGGGCTACTCTGGGACTCCATCCCTGCCAGCTGCTGCCAGCTGAGAGCCCAGCTGAAGACCAGCAGAGGCCTCTCCCTGGGGTTTCCAGAGGCCAGCCCCATGGGCCTTGTCCCCTGCATCTGCCCCCCCAGGGCCGAGCCGCCCCTGGGGAGGAGGGCTGCTGCTGTGGGACAAGTGGAGTAGCGTCAGGGGCTGGCCTCAGACCCAGGGAGTACCTCTGTGCCTTTTGTTTCAGGAATGGGCAAGGAAGTGGGGAATCTGCTGCTGGAGAACTCCCAGCTTCTAGAAACCAAGTAAGAACACTCTTCTCCAGGGCACCTGGGGGGCTCTGTTGGTTAAGCCTCCCGCTCTTGATTTCGGGTCAGGTCATGATCTCAGGGTCCTGGGATCCAGCCCCACACTGGGCTCTGCACTGGGCATGGATTTTGCTTGGAATTCTCTTCCCCCGCCCCCACTACCCTCTCTCTGAAAAGAAAAAAACCCCAGAATGCTGTTTTCCCTCTGCGGGTACTGAGATAAACCGCTGCTCAGGGCCAGGGCCTCCCTGTAACAACGCTGGGAGGGCCCAGACCCACATGGCCCAGCTTGGCCCTCCAGGGTCACCACTCTGCCCCGCATTCTGCACTGCGGGGTCCCCGCTCAGACCCCCATGAGCCGGCAGGCCCCGTTGAGCCCCCCTCACACTATGTGCACAGCGGTTCACACGGACTTCTCGACTCTCTGCCTTCTCAAAGAAACGCTCTGAATGTGGTGAAAAATGACCTCATCGCCAAGGTGGACCAGCTGTCCGGGGAGCAGGAGGTGCTCAAAGGGGACTTGGAAGCCGCCAGGCAGGCCAAGCTCAGGCTGGAGGGCCGCGTCAAGGACCTGGAGGAAGAACTCAGGAGGTGAGCCAGGGCCTGGGGCTAGGCCCTGGGAGGAGGTGGTGGGGCTCCTGGAAGGGGCCGAGCTAGACCATGCCCCCAGTCCGGTCTCCCCTTTCCGGGCTCCCTCTGGAGGACACGCCCCCCAGCGGCTCCCCCCTGGCCCTCCTCCCTCAGCCTGCCCCTCCCCCAGTTCCAGCTCTCGGTGGAGCGGCCAGGGCCCAGCTGCCCCTCTTCCCCGCATCCCCGCCCCGCTCCGCATCGTCCGCCTGCCCCCTCGTCTCCCTTAGGAGGAAGCTGCCTTCGTAGGTTCATTCAGGAGGAGGGGGTTCTGGGTTCTGGAAAGTTCTGGGTCCCCTTCCCAGCACTTGGCACTTTTGTTGCAGCCTGATGCTTCCCGTGGGGGTGCCTGTGGCTCCAGACTGGAAAGGGGAGGTGTCACGGAGGGGGCCTGTGGGGGCGGCAGACCTGCCTGGGGCTGGCCGGCTGGCTGCGCCTTCCCCATTCCCCAAAGCCCTGGTCCTCTGCTGGGGCCGCCACGGCTCATTTGAGCAGGGCTTTGGGCCGCTGGTCCGCCAGGGCCCGAGCCCAGCGGGGCCTCCCCGCTCCCCCCCGCCACAATTCCCTCCTGGTCCTGCAGAGTGAAGTCCGAGGCCATCGTTGCCCGGCGTGAGCCCAAAGAGGAGGTGGAGGATGTAAGCGGCTATCTCTGTACAGAATTGGTATATTCCACTATTAACCTGCGGGCGAGGGGGGCGGGCCGCGGGGTGGGGCTCGGGGCCCTCCTCACCCCTTCTGTGTCCTCTCCTCCACTCTTTCCTGGTGGGAACCCGTGTTCAGCCTTAGGGGCCCACCCCGCCCCCCAAGTCCAAGGACGGTCCTGAGGCGAGCCCGCTACTCCTTGGGGGTTCGTAACTAACTGTTGCAGGGAAGGCAGAGGAGATGACGTGTCGGGCCTTTGCCCTCACCCCTGTGGACCCCCTTCTGGCCAGGGTCTGGCGACTGGGCTGCCTGCCTTCCGCAGAGGGCAGGGCCGGGTCCTCGGCCTGAGGTGGACAGGGGACGCGGCACACTGCTCAGTAGCTCGGTTACTTTTGGGGGCACGTGATGTATGTGTCAGAGTGCCGGCCACGTGTTCCCTCAGCCCGTCCTGCACAGCCCCTACCTCTGAGCACCTTAGAAGAGACCCAGAGGCACCTGGCCCTCCTTGCCTGGGGCTGGGGGCTGATGCTCACTCGCCTGGCGGCCCCCTGGGGTGCCTCAGCCCCCCCGGCCAGCCTGCAGCTTCACGGAGCAGACTGGGTCCTGCCCCCGCACTCCCAGCTGGCAGACCCCACACGGATCTGCCGACACCACCAGCGTCCCCCTCGGACACAGTGCCCCCCGGTCCCGCTCGCTGGACCCTCTTCCTCTGGTGCCCCTGGGGACCAATGTCACCTGTCCGTGTTGACTGGAGGCATTTGGGATCGCCATGGGGTCCAGTGGCTTGTGTCAGCCTCCTCGAGTGTGTCATGTGACCTAGAAAGGTTCCCCTTGGGGGATGGGTAGGTTGCCCCCATACCCACCCCACCACGTTTGCCTGAGGAGGCCCCGGAGAGGAAGGGCGCCAGCTGCCCGCCGGCTGAGCGGCTGTGCCCCCCGCAGGACAAGGTCCCCCTGGCGCAGCGTCGCCGCTTCACGCGGGTGGAGATGGCCCGTGTGCTCATGGAGCGCAACCAGTACAAGGAGAGGCTGATGGAGCTCCAGGAAGCCGTGCGGTGGACCGAGATGATCAGGTGGGCCCCTCGGCCCCCTCGGGTGCCCGGCCTTGAGCCCTGGTCCCCACGGCAGGCCCTGAGGAACGGAATGCGGCAGATCCCTCCCCGCCTCCCTCTCCCGCAGAAGGACCGGAAGGGGGGCTGGTGGGAGCCCATGCGGGGCTCTGAGCCGGCAAGGGCCTTGGCTGGGCTGGAGCCGGCCTGGTGTGCCGAGACCCTTCTGGGAAGCTGTGACTGACCCCCTGGGAGCCCCTCCTCCCTGAGGCCAACTCCCCGTGTGCCCGGGGGGGGCTCCCCAGCACCCGGTCCCGGGCAAGGGAGGTGCCAGGGTGGCCTGGGCAGGGCCCAGTGAGTGGGTGGGTGTAGTCTGGGGACAGGTCTGCCTGGGCACGGGCTGAGCGGGTCCCGGCCCCCCTTCCCCGCCCACTGTAGAGCGTCCCGAGAGCACCCGTCTGTCCAGGAGAAGAAGAAATCCACCATCTGGCAGTTGTGAGTTGGGGCGCCGGGATGGGGAGGGGGCAGAGGAGGCTCCCGCTTGGCCGCCCCTCACTTCCCGTGCCCCCGCTGGCAGCTTCAGCCGTCTCTTCAGCTCCTCGTCCAGCCCCCCCCCAGCCAAGCGGCCCTACCCCTCAGTGAACATCCACTACAAGTCTCCCACCACGGCCGGCTTCAGCCAGCGCCGCGGCCACGCGATGTGTCCCATGTCTGCGGGCAGCCGGCCCCTGGAGTTCTTCCCCGACGAGTGAGTGTCCCAAAGTGTCCCTGCTCCTCCCGCAGGCCTGCACCACAGGCTGGGCTGAGTGGAGGCCCCGGGTCCCAGGGTCCTGCCCCTCCGGGCTCTGAGGCCCGAGCGGCCTCTGCCTCACTCTCCAGGGGGCTGTGCTGGGGGACGCAGTCCCTGGTGGGAAGGGGGCTCGCCAGCCTCCGTGGCTGATCTCTCTGTGCCCACACCCTGCGCCCCTCCAGCCTGACTGGGTGCACAGGGCGTCCCTGGGCACAGGCCCCACTGCCCCCCAGTCCCTGCCCTTCGTCCCAGAGGGCCACCCACAGCCCCTCAGGTGCCCCTGCTCCCCTGCCTTTGGGGACGGCCCTGCAGCCAGCGGGTGGGGTCAGGCCCCACCCCAGGATGTGGCCCACACTCCTGTGTCCTTGGAGGTTCTGGGAGCCGACAGGAAGTCAGCAGCGTGGGGTTTCCGCCTGGGAATAACTCTGTTTGGAAATTCCTGTTTCCCTTAGTTTTGGGATACCAGGATTTTGGCTCCAGAGCAGACATGGGGAATTCTGTGTGTTGTGTCCTTGGACGGGCCTGGGGGAGGGGACCAGCGCTGGGCAGGAGCTGGACAGGGGCCGGTGCCCAGGCTGCCCGCTGAGGGGCGGGGGGGCATGCATGGTCCTGCCACCTGGGCGTGGGGACCGTGCGTGCTCCATGCAGGGCAGGCCCGCGGGCGCGGGCAGGAAATGACCTGTGTGCCTCCTGCCAGCGACTGCACGTCCTCCGCCCGCCGGGAGCAGAAGCGGGAGCAGTACCGCCAGGTGCGCGAGCACGTGCGCAACGACGACGGGCGACTGCAGGCCTGTGGCTGGAGCCTGCCGGCCAAGTACAAGCAGGTGCTGCAGGGGGCGCGGGAGGCCGGCGGGGGGCGGGGGGTTGCGGGGGCAGGTGGGACGGCAGCTGGGGAACCACCTGCGCAGCCCTGTGGTGCCCCCACGGCCCCACCCACGGAGGACCGGCCCCCTGCCTCAGGCCTCGCGCCCACGTGGCCTCTGCCTTGTGGTCGCAGCTGAGCCCCAACGGGGGCCAAGAGGACACGCGGATGAAGAACGTGCCTGTGCCCGTGTACTGCCGCCCTCTGGTGGAGAAAGACCCAACCATGAAGGTGAGCCGGCCCGGCGGGCCTGACAGGTGCAGGTGGGCGGGCGCGGGCGGCAGGCTCGCTGACCCCAGGGCCCTTCTCCCAGCTGTGGTGTGCCGCGGGCGTCAACCTGAGCGGGTGGAAACCGGGCGAGGACGACTCTGGGAACGGAGTCAAGCCTGTGCCAGGCCGCGACCCTCTGACCTGCGACCGGGAAGTGGAAGGAGAGACCAAGAGCGATCACACGTCTCCAGAGAAGAAGGTCAGAGCAGACGGCAGGGCCAGGGACCCCACTGCTCCCGGGGTCTAGGTGACTGTGAGCAGCACTGGAGTCACATTGAGAGTGACAGAAACAGGACAGCTGGGAACAGTGCCGCAAGACTGGGCTCATCTGAGGTCCCCTCCCGGTCCAGGACTGTTGGAGGCCTTTGCTGCCTCCTGGGTCGGGGGAGATGTGCGGAGGGTCTGAGACTCCGCAGGCCGCAGGGCTGGAGGGCTCAGGCCCCCAGGGGTGTCTCCTCCTCTTCCCTGTGCGCAGGAGTGCTGGGCGACCCGAGGACGGGGCTGGTGGAAAAGGCGTCACGTGGGCTCTCGGGCTTTGTTCTGTGGCCCAGACTGGCTTGGGGCAGGGACCGGGGCACCGGAGCTCAGTCCCAAGTTCTCACTGCCCTGCTGCTGGAGGACATGCGTCCCCTGAGGCCGCGGGCAGGGCTGCACCTAGAGGGCTCAGGAGGCCCCCACGACCCGTTGCGGCTGCTGGAGAGGCCCGGCCCTCCTGTGCTCGGAAACAGGCAAAGGAGCTCCCTGAGCCGGATGCTGCCTCCAGCCGCGTGTGGATCCTCACCAGCACCCTGACCACCAGCAAAGTGGTCATCATCGACGCCAACCAGCCGGGCACCGTGGTGGACCAGTTCACCGTCTGCAACGCCCACGTCCTGTGCATCTCGAGCATTCCAGGTGAGGGCCAGCAGTGCGGGTTCAGCGCCGCTCCGCACACGGCGGGGATGGAGGAGGCCTGCTGAACCGTACCAGCCTCGCTTGGGATATGCTGGGGACAGTCGGGAGCCCATGGGGGAGTCCAGAGGGGAGCAGGCTGGCAGTGCCGCCCCTTAGTCCCGTGAACGAGGAGACGACCCCAAGGTGACTGTCGCTCTCGTGCCTGGAAGGAGATGAGCTGGGCGGCAGGACAGGTGGAGACACCGGTGGGGAACTGAGCACGGACCTGCCATGGGCCCAGTTCCCGCCGCCCTGCTGCAGCTGGGAGAGCCGGCGCCCACGGAGGCTTGGCTTTGCCTCTCAGCGGCTGTCCTCATGCCAGCATTTGGGGTGGGCGGGGCCCTGCCTGGGCTGTCTTCCAAGATGGCCCCAAGCTCCTCAGAACTCTTCACCTTCTGACACGTGATCAGAGTCCATTGCTCCCAAAGACCAGAGTCTCACTTCTCCATACCTTGTGCCGCCTCTCCAGGCCCGCAGGCGGTGGTTGTGAGTCGGGGCCCACATACCGAGGCCAGCCCGGCCTGAGAGCCCAGGGCGCCCTGAGCCACCCACGTTCGCCGGCGGCCACCTTCTCCCTTGCCCGCAGTCCCACGTGGGACGGGAGCCCTGGTTGTGTTCTGGTAGTGGGGCTGCTCGGCGTAGGCTGACGGGGCCGTGGCTCTCCCGCAGCGGCCAGTGACAGCGACTACCCCCCGGGGGAGATCTTCCTGGACGGCGATGTGAACCCCGAGGACTCCAGCGCCGACGGCGTGCTGGCGGGCATCACCCTGGTGGGCTGCGCGACCCGCTGTAACGTGCCCCGCAGCAACTGCTCCTCCCGAGGGGACACCCCAGTGCTGGACAAGGGTCAGGGTGAGCTGGGCCTGCGCCTGGGCGGCCGCCCTCCCCCAACCCCCTTGTTCCTCCCCACCCCCTGGCCACACTCACCCTTCTCTTCCACAGGGGAAGTGGCTACTGTCGCCAATGGGAAGGTCAATCCATCTCAGTCCACGGAAGAGGCCACGGAAGCCACGGAAGTGCCAGACTCGGGGCCCAGCGAGGCAGAGGCGGCTGCGGTGCGCCCTGGGCCCCTCACGGAGCACGTCTTCACAGACCTGGCCCCTTCCCCGGCCCCCACTGCCCAGCCCGGCAGGTGGGCTCTCTGAGAACGGGGCAGATGGAGGGGAGGGGAGGCTGGCCGAGGTGGGCAGGAAGGGGCTCCCCCGGGCCACCCTGGAGCAGCCATCCTTCCTGCAGTGAGAACGGGCCGGAGGCTGACACAGGTGGGGCGCAGCCCGAGCCGGAGCCCAGCGCAGACCCTGCAGGGGCCAGCAGTAGTGCGGCTCCCACCATGTGGCTGGGAGCCCAGAACGGCTGGTAGGTGGGGCGCCAGGGCGGGGCGTGGGAAGGGTCTCCTGGGCCAGCAGCCCTGCCCACCATGGCGTCCTCCCACAGGCTGTACGTGCATTCAGCCGTGGCCAACTGGAAGAAGTGTCTGCACTCCATCAAGCTGAAGGACTCGGTGCTGAGCTTGGTGTACGGGACCCCAGCTGAGGGCGGGCGTCGGGAGGGGCCGGGGCGTCGGGAGGGGCTCATGGCGCCCGGCCTAGGCCCGCTCGCTCACTGCCGTCCCTTTCCAGGCACGTGAAAGGGCGCGTGCTGGTGGCCCTGGCCGATGGGACTCTGGCCATCTTCCACCGAGGCGAAGGTGAGGCCCGGGGGCGCTGGGCGGGTGAGCGGCCACCCCCACCACGGGCAGAGGGGGTCCTGGCCAGGCCTGAGCAGGCGTCTGGGGCTCTCTGCAGATGGCCAGTGGGACCTGAGCAACTATCACCTGATGGACCTGGGCCACCCCCACCACTCCATTCGCTGTATGGCCGTCGTGTGTGACCGCGTGTGGTGTGGCTACAAGAACAAGGTGCACGTCATCCAGCCCAAGACAATGCAGATCGAGGCGAGTGCTGGCAGCAGGAGGGCCTCGCGGGAGGGGAAGTGGCTCCTGCTGGGGGACAGCGCTCCCGGCGTGCCTGCTAATGGGCCCTGGGAGCTTTGTGGGGTCCAGGGAAGCCTGCTCAGGGAGACAGCACCGTCACGGGCCAGCAGGGGTGGCCGGGCTGTGAGTGCCAGTCTGTCTGGGCTCCACCTGCTGCTTTGCTCTGCGGCGAGTCCTATCAGCGCCCACGGGGCCCCGCTCGCCTCCCCCGGGCCGCCAGCCTGTGGGCCGAGGGGGCAGGGTGCTGGCTACGGCTCTGCCCTGGAGCCCGGACCCTGAGGAGCAGAACAGGTTCTAGAATGAAGGCTGCATCGTGACCTGCGGCTAGGTGGGTTCAGAACCCCCCCGGCACCCCCTCATTGATGTGAGCTGCCATGACCCCACAGAAGTCGTTCGACGCACACCCGCGGCGGGAGAGCCAGGTGCGGCAGCTGGCATGGATCGGGGACGGGGTGTGGGTGTCCATCCGCTTGGACTCCACGCTGCGGCTCTACCACGCCCACACCCACCAGCACCTGCAGGACGTGGACATCGAGCCCTACGTCAGCAAGATGCTGGGTGAGGGGCTGCGCCGGGCTCGGGCGTCAGGGCTGGGAGGGCCCCTGGTGGCGGCCACGCCGACCACCCGCCCTCTTCTCCCCAGGCACCGGCAAGCTGGGCTTCTCCTTTGTGCGCATCACGGCCCTGCTCATTGCGGGCAACCGCCTCTGGGTGGGCACCGGCAACGGCGTGGTCATCTCCATCCCGCTGACGGAGAGTGAGTGACCCCCCTCGACGCCCGCACAGGTGGTGGTGACTGCGCTGGGACAAGACTCGGGGGCAGGGGGTGGAGGGCACGCTCAGCCAGGCCTTGCTCTGGACGGGGGTGCTGCTCGCCCCGGCCCGCCCCTCCTGTGACTTCTCTCCTCTCCCTTCCATGCTGCGCCCCTCGCCTCCCCAGCCGTGGTTCTGCACCGAGGCCAGCTCCTGGGGCTCCGAGGTGAGTCCAGAGCATCTGCCTCCTGCCCTTGCACGGAAGCCCCCAGCTGAGATGCCCTGTGGGCTGAGGCTGGCCTCGCCCTGCGGCGGGTGCTCTCTCGCCGCTGCCTCTGCCCACTGGAGATCAGTGGCCTCCTCTCAGGCTCGGGCCTGCCGCCCTTCTCTCTCTCCAGCCAACAAAACATCCCCCACAGCTGGGGAAGGAGCCCGCCCTGGGGGCGTCATCCACGTGTACGGGGACGACAGCTGCGACAAGTCAGCCAGCAGCTTCATCCCCTACTGCTCCATGGCCCAGGCCCAGCTCTGCTTCCACGGCCACCGCGATGCCGTCAAGTTCTTTGTGTCAGTTCCAGGTGAGGGGCTGGGCCCCCCCTTGCTGCCAGGCCGTGGCATGGCCCCCCTCCCGGAGCCTGGTGGGGGGGGCGCCGGGTGCCCGGCTGAGCTCCCTGTGCCCCGATGACAGGGAACGTGCTGGCCACTCTCAATGGCAGCGTGCTCGACAGCCCGTCCGAGAGCCCCGGCCCCGCCGCCCCCGCCTCGGACGCCGAGGGCCAGAAGCTGAAGAACGTGCTGGTGCTGAGCGGCGGGGAGGGCTACATCGACTTCCGCATCGGTGAGTAGGCGCTGCCCGGGGTCCCGGGAACCCCAGCCGGGCCGTCCCATCACAGCAGCTGCTGTCTGTCCAGGGGACGGAGAGGATGATGACACCGAGGAGAACAATGGGGACATGAGCCAGGTGAAGCCCCTGCTGTCCAAGGCGGAACGCAGCCACATCATTGTGTGGCAGGTGTCCTACAGCCCCGAGTGAGGCTCCGGCCTGCCCCGCCGCCTGCCCGCCGCCCGCGTGTACATACAGCCCCCCCCGCCCGCCCGGCCCCCCCTCTCAGAACCTCTCAACCTGCAGCTTTCACCTTAGGGCCGGGCCTCCCCAAGGGCGGCCGCACGGGTCTGGCTGGGAGGGAGGCGGGGGAGCGGGGTTGCATCCTCACTGGGACGGCAAGAAGCTCTGGGGACACCTGACCCAGCAGCCTCTGGCTCGCCTCTGGTCCCAAGTTCTCACAGCCTGGGGGCACTTCGGGGCCAGAGCAAGGCAGGGTCCTGGGGTAGGTCGGGCCAGGAGAAAGCCCTGCGGGTGGCTCCCAGCTCCACCCCGGGCCCCCCACTTCCCTCACCCAGGACCCCCTAGGGCAGGAAGCAGGGACTTCAGCCCGCCAGGTCTTCCCAGCTGGAGCCCACTTGCCTTTGCCCGCTGCTGCCTGATGGGGTGGATCTGACCCTACGGGAGCCGGCCCAGCCACTAGCCTTCCCCAGACACCCCCTACCCACACCCTGATGCCTGCCCCGGGAATTGGCATGGAAGCACGTAGCCAGGCTGCCTAAGGCAGCTGCTTGAGAAGACGGGGACAGATGCTCTCTTCCTGCTCACCCCGTGTGGCCAGCTCTCCCTGCGCAGAAGACCCACCCGGTGGGAGCAGGCTCTGGAGTCCTCCCCTCCCACAATCCCCTCGGGTGGAATTTCTCAGGCTGCCAAGGCAGGCCCAGGCCTCAGGAAGAAGAGGAGGCCCCTGGCCTCTCCTGGGGTCAGTCCTAGGACACAGGCTCAGCCTCGGGGGGACAGGGGGACACGTGATCTGGGGCCTGCCTCCCAGTCTCCAAGGAGCCCAGCTCCCAAGACACACTAAGAAGTGCCTAGGGCTGGCAGAGTGGCCTGCTCCCTTGAGGGCAACTGAAGACAGCCCGTGAGAGCTTGGGGCAGAAGCTGCCTCCAGCCGGCTTTGAGGGGGGCCGCCCTGGACTGCCACCTCCCCGACCCGCCCAGGTCCAGCCTCACTCCTGCTCCGGAGGCCCTGCTGCCCACCCACCTCCCACCAGAGAAGCACAGATCTCGGGCAGCCACGCCGCATCCCTGCCGGCCACAGCCACGGGCAGCTGCAGGCTTCTCCCCACCACCCTGCCACTCTCCACTGTGATGTACGTCCAGTCCCTTGTCTGTTCCCATGGGGCCGCGAAGAGACTGGAGGGCAAGCCGGGTGGGCGCAGCTGGGGAAGGGGCTGGGTGGTGATTCTCAGGCTTCGGCCCTGCAAGCGAACCCACGCATCTGCTCTGTGTGTAATAAATGTCTTCACGTTGTAGCCCTGTGTCTCTGGGCACAGACCAGCGGGAGCGTTAAGAACTTGCTTCACTTTATTGTCCCAAGAAACGCTGGCCCACGCGGGGAGCCAGGGCGGGCCGCTAATAGGAGGGGCCCGCGGGGTCGCGCGCGCAGCTATTCGTACAGCCAGTGCGCGGCACTGTCCTCCCAGCACAGCAGCTCGTCGCCGCGGAACCAGAGCGCGATCTCCCTGCGGGCGCTCTCCACCGAGTCACTGCCGTGGACCACGTTCCTGCGGGAGAGCCGCGTGAGCGCCTGCGGCCGCCGGGGCGTGACGGGGGCTGGGCGCGCGCTCGGGCTGCCTTACTTGCCGACCTCGACGCAAAAGTCCCCACGGATGGTGCCTGGCGCGGCGTCGGCCGGGTCAGTGGCCCCGATGAGCGCCCGCGAGGCGCGCACCACGTCCAGCCCCTGCCACACCTGCGCGCGAGCCGGTGGGTCTCAGTGCACTGGCCTTCGTTCGCGCCCGCCCGCCCGCCAGCGCGCCCGGCACTCACCATGGCCACCACGGGCCCCGAGCCCATGTAGTCCACCAGCCGGCCGAAGAAGGGCCGCTCGCGCAGCTCGGCGTAGTGCTCGCGCAGCAGCTCGTCCGAGGCCTGCGGCGGGGTGGGGACGGGCCGCGCGCGCCGGCGTCTCCACCCGCCCGCCCGCTCCCCGCCGCCGCCCCCCGCCGCCACCCCCCGCGCGCCCTCACCTGCACCAGCTTCAGCGCCACCAGCTTGAAGCCTTTGCGCTCGAAGCGCCGCACGATCTCGCCCACGAGCCGCCGCTGCACGCCGTCGGGCTTCACCGCCAGGAAGGTGCGCTCGTACACGCCGGCGCCCGCTGCGGGGGCTCGCGGGGTCAGGGCGCGTCAGGCCCCGCCGCTCCCCGGCCCGCACCCGCACCCCCACCCGGGCCCGCCGCCGTTCACCTGCGGGGAAGAGGTGGGCGAGCACCGTCAGCAGCAGGCACAGCATGATGGCGGCGGCGGCGGCGGGCGGGGCCTGCGTTTAAAGGGGCCGGGCGGCGGGCGCGCGGGGAGCCCCAACGCTCGGGCACCCCACAGGGTCGGCGCTCCCTCCCGGACCTGCCCCAAACCTGCTGTGGCTGCCCAACCGCAAACGCAAAGAAAACCACAACCCAGGGCGCCGGTTCTGCTTTTATTCGAGAGCGCACACGGTTCCCGGCCGAGTCCGGCAGCGGCCGCACGGAGCGGGGAGGCGACCCGCGCCAGCGCTTGGAGCTCCGCGCTGCCAGCCCCGCCACCCCCCCGCCACCCCCCGCGGCCAGCTCGCCCAGAGCAAAGGCGCGGGGGCAGGGTCTGGCTCCACGCTCCCAGGGGGCTGACCCAGCTGCAACGCAAAGGCGTCTTCGTTCACAAAGCGGGGCCCCGCGCCCTCCCCATAACATTCAGACTGGCGTGGCCTTGGCCTTTTTCTTCGCTTCCTGTTTCGCAGGGTAGTCCCAGGGATGCACTCGGGTCCGCTCCAGATTCAGCATGGGCTCCTCGGTGCAGGCGTCCCCTCTTTTCTGCCGCTCCGCTAGGATCATGGCCCGCAGGAGTGGCGGGTAGGGCACGCAGCGCGAAGCGTCCTCGGGCGGCGCCGGCGTGAACGCGGTGAAGGCCGCCTCCTCGTGCTTGGGCACCAGCCGCCAGTCGTGGTACATGACCTGCCCGATCTCCCGGGCCTCGCTCTCCGTCCGCCCTGGGGAAGAAGGCCGGGGCTGAGCGCACGTGCGCCCGCGGGGCAGGCTGGAGTCAGGGTCACGGCCGCCCCCAGCGCCTCACCTTTGAAGGTCAGCACGCCCCAGGCCTTCCCGTGCTCCAGGTTCTGCAAAGCAAGCGCACAGGGCGTCGGTTGGGAGCGCGCGCTCGCCCCCTCCCCGCGGCCGGGGCGCCGAGGCACCCGCGCACACGCACCTGCGCCGTGTAGTCGGGCCGCACGCGCGTCAGGCGCCAGTAGCACGGCTCGTCGTGCTGCCACAGCCAGGACTTGCGCGTGACCAGGCGGCCCAGGCCGAAGAGCGGCAGGCGGCTGAGCAGCTGCATCAGGCTGCTCTCCCGGCGCACGTCGGCCCAGGCGCGCACGGGCAGCCGGCGGCCCGAGTACGGCCGCGTCAGCGTCTCGTAGTCCAGGGCGTAGCGCTGCGAGTCGCGCGGTCGGTTTCGCTGCTCCCGCAGGGCCCGCACGCGACGGGCCAGCTCGGCGATGAGCCGCGGCCGTACCTTCTTGCGCGCCATGGTCGGCGCCCAGCTTGCCCGCGCCCCGACCGGAAGCCTCGCCTCCTCCGGAAGCGGCCGGTGTCCCTCGGAAAAGCGTCCGGGTGGCGGCCGGAAGCCCAGTGGAGGCCGGGCCAGCGATGGCGCGGGAGGGCTCCGGGCGGGTGGGATCCTGGCGCCGGGCGGGGGCCCGGGGCGGGGGCCGGCGGCGGCCTCCGACGTGGGAGGTCTCGGACTCGGACGGCGAGGGCCCCGCCGGCGCGAAGGCCCGCGGGCCGGTGGAGGAGCGCAGGACGGCGGCGGAGGAGCGCAGGGCGGTGGCCGAGGCTCTGCGGCCGGAGCGGGCCCTGCGGCGCGTGGCGGTGCGCTTGGACCCAGGTGCGGGGGGGGACCGGGGGGCGCCGGCGGCACCCCCGAGGCCGCCCTCCGCGCCGGAATGGGGTCGGTTTCCCAGCCGGGGAGGCGGCCGGGCGCAGGCCGGGGTCCGCTCCCCGCAGCCGGGCGGTGGTGACAGCCGTGTCCCTGCGGCCCGTCACAGCCCTTCTGGAAGATGCTGGTGCCGACGTCCTGCTGGAGGCCCTGGGCGCCCTGGGCTGTGAGTACCACATCGAACCCCAGCGCCCGGCCCGGAGCCTCAGGTGGACCAGAACGAAGCTGGACCCTTGTCCCCGCACTGTGAGTGTCCCGGGGCTGCGGAGTGCACCCCTGGCCTGAGGGCTTGTTTCCCACAACTTCACGCACGCCTGCGGGGTTTGAGAGGGTCAGCTAGAAGCTGGAGCGCTCAGTGGGTGCTGGCGACTTGCAGGGCTGGTGTCCGTGGACCTGAACTGGTCTTGGACTTGGCGGGGGATGAGGCGAGGGTTGTCTGTAGAGCAGTCTTGCCAGGGCCTGGGCTTGGCTATGGCGACAAGCCTCTGAGCCACTGGGCCCAGGCAGGGCCCTGGGACCTGTGAGGTGGGGGGCGGGCAGCAACTGTCTCTCCATGTCCCCACAGGTGCCTTCGGAGGTGTGGGCTGCCGAGGAACAGGTTCTCCTGCTCCTGGAGCCGGAGGAGTTTCTACAGGGCCTCCTGCAGCTGACCCAGGTGGGCGGGGGCAGGGCGCGGTAGTCCTTCCCACAGCCGAGGGGCTGGGCTCCCCAGCTTGGGGGAGCTGCTCCGCTAGCTGCTGTTCCCTACTCTAGGGGAGAGGGACCAGACAGGATGTGTGCAGCGGCCTGGGGCGGAGATGTGGGTGAGCTAGAGAAACCAGGTGGGTTCTGGGCCTGGAGCAGACTGGGGCCGCTGCTGGAGAGTAAAACCCGGGTTAGGGGAGGTTCTCGGTAAGCTGAGTGATAAGGCAGGGCGTTAGCTTAGACTGTGTGCGGGTCTGGGTGTGTGTGGTTCAGGATTTCTCACACACCCACAGAATGCTAGGCGGTTGGGCGCCGGGGTGCAGAGGCAGACGTGGAGGGTGGGGGCTCAGGTCCCCTCTTGCAGGTGCCTGGAAGGCACTGGGGCTTTCCCAGGTCCCTTGGCCTTGTGGGAGGCACACAGCTGCGCTCTGTGGAAGGAAGCCTGTGTCCTTCTCTCCCCCGGACCACTGAGTCACTCTCAGGCCGACTTCTTTGCGTGTGAACGCAGTTGCCGTGTTGCCAGCTGCAGAAACAGATGTGTTAAACCTCGGCTTGCAGACTTGTGGCCCATCTTGCTCCGTGCCCTGGGTCTGTCCTGAGAGCTCCACCGGCCCCCACCTGGCTGTCGTCGGGCTGGATGCTTACCTGTGGTAACAGTCCCTCTCTTGCCCTTAGTAGGCCTGGCTGGGATGCGGGAGCCCAGGAGTTTACTATGACACAGCTAATTCCCTTTCTTGGGGGGCCCCGGGGGAGTGATGGGGTGTGGGGACCCAGAGGGATGGTCACCTTTGCTCAGGTCTCAACAGCCCAGCAACCAGGATGTGCGGCAGCCAGAGAGTCCAGCAGTGGCCCGTGCCCCAGTGGCACTCAGCTGGCCCAAGGTGGAGGAGGTGAGGGCCTGTCAGGTGAGGTGGGATGGGGTGGAATGCTTGCCCTTGGTCCTGCCCTTGGTCCTGGTGCCTGGGCTGCTCTCCAAAACCCAGCAGCCCGTTTCGGTCCCAGAGCAGCATGTGGGGTTGGTCTCAGCTGGGTGTCCCCTAGGGGTGACCTTGTCTGACCCACACGGTGGGCTCACATTCTCAGGCCCTGGTCCTCCTGCAGCTCTGGGCACAACTGGATGTGCTGCTGGTGGCCTCCTGGCAGGAGCTGACTCAGCACATATGCGCCTTCACCAGGGCCCTTGCTCAGCGCCCGCTCAAGTGCGTGCCCCCCACCCGGACTTGTGACTGTGGCTGGGGGAAGGGACAGGAACACCTGGGTGGGTGGAATCTCCCTGGTGTATTTGGGAGCAGAGAGAGCAGAGGGCTTTGTGAGCTGGGAAGACGGGGTGCTCCGAAGACGTGAGGGCTCTAGAACCTTCTTTGCATCCTTCTCCGTCTGCAGGCAGTACCGGGATTCCTGTGCCTTTTCCTTCTGTGTGGCTGGGCGCTGGGCAGCCAGCGAGCGTGTGGCGAGAGATGGCACAGGGCTGCGGGGGGTCTGGTGGCGACAGATCAGGCAGTTCCACCGGGTCAGCCCTGCTGTGGCCGATGCCATTGTCACCGCCTTCCCCTCCCCCCGCCTTCTGCAGCAGGTGGGTCCCCCAGCCCCTGCCCGGCCCTGTGGAGCGAGGGCCACAAGAGGTGCCCTGCTTACCGCTGTGCCCGCCACAGGCGTTCACGAGCTGCAGCACGGAGCAGGAGCGCCTGGCCCTCCTGGCGGACCTCCCCGTGAAGACTGGCGGTGCTGGCCAGCCCCGCAGGGTGGGGCCTGACCTTTCCCGCCGCATCTGCCTCTTCCTGACTGCCACCAACCCCGAGCTCCTACTGGACCTGAGCTCCTGACTATGTCTGTGGGACAGGAAAGAGCCCTGTCTCACCAGCAGGACAGAATGTGGTCCACCCCACCCCAACTAGCAGGGGGAGGGAACAGGGCATTGCCCTTGGGGTAGGTGGGAGGGCATGGGGCGGCCAAAACGTTCTAGGGTAACAGGGACGGGCAGGAGAGGAGGGGTGAACTTCCCTGCCCTGGGTCCCGGACATGCTGGCCACAGTTGGGGTCAGGAAGGGGGAACAAACACCAGTCACGGGGAGACTTGGGGGCGGCATGTTCTGAGAAGCAGTAAACAGAGTCCCGAGGGAGGAGAGAGAACCGGGCTGGCTCTCCTGGCAGGTGCTGTGATGCAGCTGGGCGCGACACGGAGAGCGCCCTGGGCAGCCGGGAGCCCCGGGCCTTGGCCCTTCCTCCCTTCCTCTGGCCACGACAGAGGCGTCACGTAGAGTCTAAGTTTATTACGGTCATTTCGGCCTGGGACAAGAGGGACAGCAGCTGACGACATGCACGAGCAGCTGAAGGACGCGAGCGGGCCGGCAGCGAGCACGGGGGCTGCCTCTGCCCGTGTCCTCAGCCCCGTCGGTCCGGGAGAGCCGGGCTGGCCACGTCCGCACGACACCAGAGGCCAATGCTCCTGGGACCACAGGGGCCCGTACCGGCCAAGACCGCCCTGGGCGTGAGTCTGCCCTCTGGAGCCCAGTCTGAAGGGGCGTGGAGCAGGCGGCCACCAGGCCCCGGGAAGGCGGCGTCCCCCGGAAAGCGGTCAGGTCCGTCGGCAGCGTTTCCGTGGGTGGGGCCGGGGCTCGGGGACGCTTGCGCCGGTGGCCACGGGGGATGGTGCAGGGGGCTTGCGGCGGCCGCAGCTCATGCTCAGGACCCAGCCGAGCTTGTGACGCAGCACCTGCTTGAGGCCGGGCGGCAGGGGCAGCCCCTCGAGCGTGTCCCCCGAGTCGGGCCGCAGCTGGCGCAGGCGGTGGCAGCACAGATACTGCAGGGAGGTCATGCTGGCGCACGAGCGGATCACCTTCATGCTGCTCTTGGCCGCCGTGGAGCACACCATCGGGTAGAACTTCTTGTTCTGCAGCTTGGTGGCTGCCACGCCTGGGGGGGGGGTCACCACCTGAGTCCCCGGCCAGCCCTTCGGGGTGCAGACTCCCACCGCCCCTGGTGTGGCCCCCCCCCTCCAGGAAACCCAGGACCTCAGGTTCTTGCAGGGACCAGCTGCTGGGACGCCTGGGTGGGGGCTGCAGTTCCACACCCCGCAGGCACCGGTCAAGGTCATGTCTGCCCTCACCTATGCACTTCCTGTTCTTGAAGAAGGTGAGCGTCCCGTGCCAGGTGTCCAGGTGCACGCCGATGATGGAGCCCTGGCCAAACCTCGACGAGAAGCTCATCTTATCGCCCTTGTGATGGAGGAGCCCTGGGGGGCAGGGCGATGGGGTGAGCCCTGCTGCCTCGGGGTCGCGACCCCGCTCCCCCGTCCTCTGCCTGCCCTCAGGACCGTGCATACCCGTGTAGGAGAGACCCCAGCTGTCTTCATCTCTGCCGAGCAGGCTGCAGAACGTGTGGTGGTACTTGTCCAGGTCCACGTCTGACGTGCCGATGCCCACCATCTGGGAAGAGTGGGGCGGGCAGAGCGCGTCTGGGCCTGGGCGCCTGGGGCCACACCTGCCTGCCCCCCCCCACCAACCTGCTGGCCACTGACCATGTCGGTGCCGTAGACCGGTGAGGTCATCTTGATCTCCCAGAAGTGCTGGCCCTCCCCCAGCTCCTTGGTGCCCCTGATGGCCGCCGTGCCACAGCTGTACTCCATGTGGAAATTGACCTTTCTGTTGTCACAGCTCAGCAGGGTGGCGGAGGACTTATTCAGGTCGTCCCACACCCAGTCAAAATCTGCAGGAGCAGAGGAGGCCAGGGCTGGAGGATACGCAGGCTGGCTCCCCATGCCCCGCACCCTGGGTCCTCCCCCGGTTCTCACGCTCGTCCTCCTCCCCGCAGCGGCAGTCCTTGTCCTTGCCGCGATGCACCGTGTGCAGGCTGCTGCAGAAGGAGGCCTCGCTCTGGCCGTCACAGTCACAGAATGACTCCCCGGTCACAGGCACAGCGCTGGGGATGGGCGGTGGCAGGGTGGGGGACTCAGGGTCGGAATCGGAGTCACTGTGCTGCGAGAGAAGGACCAGCTGCTCCCGTCTGGCGTGCCCCCTGCCTTCTGTCACCATGTGCAGGTCGACGGCACTGATGCCCCAAGGAAGCACCTGCAGATCCGGCCCCAAAGGCCTTCCCTGGGTCTCTTCACCCTTGTCCAGTGCCACCCCCAGTGGCCCCGGACACCTCCCCCAGTTTCCTGGGAATGGGTTCAAGGGCTCCAACGGGGGTCACTGGGCGCCCCGCTGACAACCAGTCAGGTGGGGCTGCTGGCTCCAGCTCCTCCTCCAGGCGTCCTGAAGCAGGGGAGCCCAGGACAGTCTGCTCTCGACCTGATGAAGGCAGCCTGGCTTCCTGCACAGGGAGCGCATGGGCCCCTTCCCACCGCAGAGCCCCTGAATCTGTTCTGGGCCGTGGCCCTCTGATCATCCACAGAATGGGTGGCTCCTAACCTCGAGCCCAGGGCACCGCAGTCCCGTGCTCACACGTGCAGTGCTGCCGCAACAAGACCTTCCATGGGGACCTGTCCTCTGCCCGAGGGGCCCCATCCTCGTGACGTGTGCTCCACGTCTTGGGAGCCCAATGATGGCCCAGAGCCAAATCCTTCCAGAAGATCAGTCAGGTATGCTAACACTATGGATGGCTTCTGTGCTCAGAGCTGTTCCTCTTCTGAGGACAGGGCCCTCTGGACCCACCTGCAAGGGGCTGGGCTCTCACTGGCCAGGCCCAGAACAAAGGCTGGGGTCCTAGCCAGGCTCCACCCTCTGCGCCCTGCTCTCCTGGCCTCCATGAGCTCCTCCCCCGAAATGCCCTCTGCCCCTGCACAGACCCAGGGCAAGGCCTGGTCCACCTCAGCATTCTGCTGCTTTGAGGGTAAGGCCCACACCCCCATCAGGGCCGGCCCACCCCCCCAGTTGTGTCCATTGTCTCCTACAGCGGGGGTGGCCTTGCTGCCCCTAGACTGCACTTCCAAGAGGCCTTTCCAGCCCCTCCCTCCTGTGCTGTGCTCCTCGGCTCTGCTTTCTCCCGTTAGAAGCTGAAAAACTTGCCCCTTGTTTCTCGGCACCCAAGGCTACGGAGAGGCCACATGGCGGAGACGGAGCTCAGGAGGCCAGAAGCCGTGGTCAGGGACAGATGCCACCAAGAGACAGGAAGAATGCCTGAAGCACCCCCCGCCCCTTATGGAGAATGCTGTTCCCTCAAAGCGAAGGCAGGCCCACTGCTCATCAGGCCGTCCATCCCCTTCCCATTTTGTCAAGTGCCAGGGTCACAGACCTGAGTCCCGGGGTCCACCCGACCAGCCCCCTGCGCAGCAGCCCAGCGGGGAGGGGGTAGCTGCCCACCACCAACCAGAGGACCAGCATCGGAGCTGGAGTCAGACATGCTGGGGTGACGCACCCACCCACACAACCCAGCACTCCCTGCCCATTAGGTGACAGACAAGCTACAGGCATGCGTCACATGCTGTGCCCTAGGCCCCCAACACCACCTGCATCTTCCAGCGATGAGCTGGCCGGGCAGAGACTGGCGGGAGAATGGATTGCTCAGATCACGTGGTTGGGGGAGCTGGCGATGCGACAGGAATGCAGGCCGAGGCCTCTCGCTGGCCTGGGCAGGGAGTTTGGGGAGGCCCTCGGAAGGGGCCCTGGACTCTGCCTCCAGTTCTCCCCCGGGGCTGGCGGTCCCATAGGGCTCAGCCACCCTCACGCTATCAAGAAGACAACTGCTTTCTCCCAGGACACCTGCCAGGGCTAGGGCAGTAACACGGGGTGCTAGGACACAGCAGAGCCCAGTCACCCGAGGATCACCCCTGCTGGAAGCAGCCGAGGCGACTCAGAGCAGAACTGAACCCCTGCCCTGGTCTGAGCGCGCTGATGAGCCATCTGCAGTGCCCACCTCCAGCAACAGGCATGACGGCTGTGCAGCGTGGCCGCCACGACAGGGGCGTCCCAGCTGCTGCTTTGCGGGCCCCCTGGCCTCCCTGAGCTCTGGAGCTGCTGCGTGTGGGAAAGCACGGGCGTTTTGATCTCTAAAAATTCCAAGTCCTCTTTCTACGTACACATACACAAACACCAAGCATGTATTCGTACGGGCAGAGACGGTGTCTGGGAGCACACACGTCAAGCTGCTTTTGGATGCTGGTTGGATAAGTGGAACGGAGTTTTTGTTGAACTAACCAAAGAAAACAACTTCTGTGCCCCAGAGAGAAAAATCTAGAGAAGAAGGTGGTATCTGTCCTGGGGTCCTGTCACCCCAGGGCCACATGGGTCCTTGACCAGGGAAAAGGAGGGCCTCCCTGGCCCATCCTCTGCCCTCAGGGGCATCTTTCTCTTTCAGTCCTGGCTCAGACACTGCCCACCCTGGGCGCCTCTGCCCCTTAGTCCAGCCACGCCCACATCCCCCACCAGGACCTACCTGCCCATCTGAGTCGTAGCCCCAGTTAGTGGTCCCCGCCAGAGCCACAGCCCGGGCATCCGCATCTCGGTGGGCTGCGCTCAGGACAAAGTGCCAAGCTCTGCTGCTCCGAGGGCGCCTGGCCATGGTGGACAGGATCTGGAGGAACACCCAGGCTCTGAGCAGAGAAGACACGAGGCAGTGCTCCCGTGCTCTGTGCTCCATCCTCAGCCAGCTGTGCCGGCCCCAGCCAAAGGTGCGAGCTTGCCTGAGCCCTGCGGATGCGGAACGAGAGCTCTGGGACTCTTCCCGCCCTCAGCCCTCCCTCCAGCATGCAAGCACCTTGATGAGCGCCAGGCAGAGAGTGAGGAACACCATGCAGATGCCCATGACTCTCAAACACGTATCTCAGCCCCACTGAGCTCAGCCTGCGGAACCCAGCCTTCCCTCGGGCGTCTCCAACCTCGTCTGGCTCCTCCTCTGTTGTCCAGTTTGACAGATGGCATCTCCAACCTCCCAGTTCCTCATGCCAGACCCATGGCAGTCACCCTGAACACCCTCACACGCCCAGCACCACCTCCAAACCGTGTCCTGAGCCCTCTCCATCCCCGGGGCCACCTTTCCTCTGGCTCCTCCCACTTCACTCATTACAGCCAAGCCTACTTTCTGGAAGCACAGAGCTTAAGAACGGAAGCAAGTCTCAATCCATCTGGAAACGGCTCGGCCTTGCCTTACGGAGACAACATGCAACATCCCGCCCCTCCGCGCTTCTCCAAGCCGCAAGGGCCTGGGCCCGGGTGCGAGCCTGCTCCCGCCCTTCGCCCGGAATGCCTTTCCCGTCCCGCATTCTCCCGGGACCACGCCGCCTTCCAGGGCTGCCCCCCGACCCAGAGCGCCCCCCGCCCGCTCCCCGAGTCGCCGTCCCCGGCCGCCAGGCGCAGGTGACCGCCCCGCAGCAGCGCACGGCAGGCGGCGCGCCCCGGCCCGGCCCGCGCGGGTCTCCGGCTTCGCGCTGTCGCGGGGGTTGCGGCAAGGCCGCCCGCAGAGCCCTGGGCGCCCCCGGCGCCGCCGCCCGCAGGAACAAAGGCGCGCCAGGGCCCCGCGTCGCCAGCGCTCCCGTCAGGCCAGCAAGCGCGGCGGTCGTGCGCTGCGGAGCCGGGGGACCCTGGGGGCAGCGGCCGCCGCCGCTCACCTGCCACTGCTCGGTTGCCGCCGCGCTGCGCCGGGCGGCCGTGACCTACTTTCCGCTCCGGAGCGAGACGTAAACAATCCCCGCCCCGCAGCCCGCCCCCCGCGCCGCATTGGCCCCGCGGCCACTGGCGGGCGCTGCTGGGCGCTGCTAGGCGCTGGCTGTTCGGGGCTGCGGGCAGGGGGCGGGCCGCGCGGCACATGCCTCCTGCCGAAAGGTTGCTCGAACTGTCGGTCCTGGCTCCACCTCCCCATTGGTCACCTCTCAAGCCGTCGGTAACAGGGCCCGTGTGCCCATTGGACGCGCGCGGGGCGAGGCAGGGACAGACACGGAAGTGAGTCCACTTCCGGTTCATGGCGGGCACCGGAAGCTGCGTCTCCTTACTTGGGATATGACTGGCTGAGTGGAGCGCCAGTGGGCCTGTCAGGACGGCCAGGGGGAGGGCGCTGCGTGGGGGGCGGGGTTTGGGCCGGTGGACGGAGGCCGTGGGGCGGGGGGGGGGGGATGGCGGCGGCGGCGGTGACGGCGGCGGAGGCGGCGGCGGCGGAGGCGGCGGGTGAGTGCTCCGAACGGGCGGGAGCGGGCGGCGCCGGTGCGCCGCGGCCGGTCGCGGCCTCGGGCGTTCAGGGGATGTCGTCGGCGCCCAGAGGGCGCGCGCAGGGTGCTTGGCGGGGACCAGCCGCGTCTCGCTGCGCCCCGGGGGCCTGGGGTCGGGGGCTGGTGGCCGCAGGGCCGCGGCTAGAGCCTGCGCGCCGCGTATGTCGGTTCTGTGAGGAAGCGGCGGTCCAGCACGGCGCGGGCCGGTGCCGGCCGGTGCCGGCGGGTGCGGCGGGCTGCCCCGGAGGTGCTGCCGGCGTCGGCGACCGGGCCCTGCCGCGAGCCGGCCCGGTGCCCCGCGCACCCCGTCCCCGCCCGTCGCTAGAGGCAGGGTCTAGAGGAGGGTCGGGACCAGGGCAGCCTTTGTGGAGCCCCCAGGGACCCAGGCTCGCGGGCAGGGCGGTGGGGAGGTCGGGCAGGGGTGCCCGTGGCGGGGTCAGAGGTAAGAGGCAAGAACTTAGGGTGTTGCAGGGGGACTGACGGCTGTGTGGGTGCAGGGGTGGGCCTGGTGTCTCTTCAGGGACATGTTAAGCTCACTGGAAGGAAGAGCCGGGGCGGAGTGGTCCGCGGCCCACAGAGAGCCACGGCTGTTGGGCCTGGGGCCGCGCGGGGCGTGGCCAGGGATGCAGGTGTGTGTCTGGGGCTCAGGGCATGGTCTGAGCCAGAGAGGTGGCTCCGTGCCCGCGCGTGACCGCAGCTCTAGGTCTCTAGAGCTCTAAGCGTTCCTCCTGAGAACTGGAGACCAGGGACCCCAGGAGAGTGTTGGGCACCTGGGGGGCATCACACCTGAATCCTATGAGTGGGGGCAGGGGCCGTCCCCAGCACAGCGGACCTCAGCCTGTCATGACGGCCGTTTCCCACTGGGATCAGCTGGGACCCTGCAGCCTCCTGCTTCCTGTGGCCCACCCGGGAGAGTGATCTGCAGGGGGGCAGGGACACACGTGCTCACAGCAGAGAGGGGCGGTTTGGGACAGCCGTCTGCCAGAAGGCCACGGTTCAGGTCTGGGGCCGGCCCGCGGGAAGACCTTCCAGCTGGGGGTGTTTGCTTCCATTACGCCAAAGGAGCAGATCTCGGAATTGGGGGCGTGGGAGGGGCTGGTGAGCCTTGAGAGTGAGCCTCCCAGAGCATCTGGTGCAAGGGGGATTCTCTGCCCTCCCCTTTTCTCCTGACCAGAGCCTGGAAACCTGGCAGGTGTCCGGCACATCCTCCTCGTCCTCTCGGGAAAGGGGGGGGGTCGGGAAAAGCACCATCTCCACGGAGCTGGCCCTGGCCCTGCGCCACGCGGGCAAGAAGGTGAGCACCCCACGCCGGCACCCGCTCCGACCACCCCGCTGCTCTGCCCCTTGCGGACTTCCGGCCTCTTTGCAGGTGGGCATCCTCGACGTGGACCTGTGTGGCCCCAGCATCCCCCACATGCTTCGGGCGCAGGGCAGGGCCGTGCACCAGTGTGACAGCGGCTGGGTCCCCGTCTTTGTGGACCAGGAGCAGAGCATCTCTCTCATGTCCGTGGGCTTCCTGCTGGAGAGCCCGGATGAGGCTGTGGTGTGGAGGGGCCCCAAGAAGAACGGTAATGACGGGGCACAGGACGGCACAGCTAGCCCTCTTGCTGCCCCCAGCTGTCACCATGGTGCTCCGTTAAAAAGTCAGTTAGAAAGTCCTGCGGGAGCTTCGGGCCCCCTCCCCGGGGTAACTGGGTAAAGCCAGAGACCCCAACAGCCAGTTATTTCCAGAACGGTTCTGCTGCTCACCGGAGCGATCAGGCCGGGCGAGGGAGTTAAGAGCAGGAGGAACCTTGTGCGGTTGTCAGTGGCCCCATCCGAGTCCCTGAGCCGGGAGGGTTCTGCTCAGACCTGAGGCCACACCAGGCCCCACCAAGCGGAGTGATTGGCAGGGGGAGGGGCTGCATGCGGGACCTGCCGCCATGGGTCACGGGCTCTCCTGTTGCAGAAGCTGGAGGGGAACCTGCGTCCAGGCACAGACCCCCTCCCCAGGAGGATCACAGCTCCTGGCTCAGGCCTGAGCAGAAGTCTTGGGTGGCCGGGGTGGCCCCACATCCGGGAAGAGAGAGGTGCTTGTGGGGCCCACGTGGTGCGCGTGCCACCCTCCGTAAGGAGCGGCTTGCTCTGCGGCCGTTGGGAAGACCCAGGACCTGCAGAGGCTGTAGGCGAGGGGCTCGCTGAGATCCCTGGGTCTCTGCAGCGCTGATAAAGCAGTTCGTGTCTGACGTGGCCTGGGGACAGCTGGATTACCTGGTTGTGGACACGCCCCCCGGGACCTCTGATGAGCACATGGCCGCTGTGGAGGCGCTGCGTCCCTATGGCCCGCTGGGGGCCCTCGTGGTCACCACGCCACAGGTACCCCGCGAGCGCCGTCCGCGACCTCACCGGGGACCTGGCACTATTCCCGGCTCTTGACACGCTCAGTGACCGCTGTCCTCTGTTGCCTGGTCGCAGGCGGTGTCTGTGGGGGACGTGAGGCGGGAGCTGACCTTCTGTAGGAAGACGGGGCTGCAGGTGGTCGGGGTCGTGGAGAACATGAGTGGTTTCGTCTGTCCCCACTGCACAGTGAGTCGTGGGGACTCGAGTGGTCACCAGCCCTTGCGGGGCCCAGGGGTGGTCAGGTGTGCCCTGGGTGGCGAGAACACCCCTGGACCTGTCCCTCTTGAGTGTGAGAAGTTCCTTAAGGGGGGCCGCACATCTGCGTTCCAGGAGTGCACCAACGTCTTCTCCCAGGGAGGCGGAGCGGAGCTGGCCAGACTCGCCGGAGTCCCCTTCCTGGGTGAGCACGGCAGGGCCGCCGCTTGGACTCTGCCCCGGGGGTCTGAGCTCCCCAAGGGTCTGAGCTCCCCGCGGCTGGTGGGCACGAGTGGGAGCCCGCGGGAGCCCCGGTGGGTTGGGGCTGGGGAGCTGGCCCCTGGCCCTCTGCCACCCTCACAGCCCGTCCCCTGCCCTCCCCCTTCGCAGGCTCTGTGCCTCTGGACCCTGAGCTCACCAGGAGCCTGGAGGAAGGTCGAGACTTCATCAGGGACTTCCCTCAGAGTCCCGCCTTCCCCGCGCTCTCCTCCATAGCCCAGAAGGTTCTGAGCGAGGCGCCTGCTCGGCTCTCCTGACCAAGGCAGCCCCCTCTCGCGTCTCTGGCCGCGCACACTCAGACCTAAGCAGAGGCCGTGGCCGTGCGGGCCTCTTTCTGCGCCCCCTCCCCGCATCTTGGGTTTCTAGGGCCTCTGGCGGTAGAGCGGCCGACAGTGGGCGGTTCTGCCCGGCGGGCGGGTGGCAGGGCCCGGGCGAAGGTGTGGGGTCCTGGTGGCTGAACTCTCAGGTGATGGCACGTGCACCCCCAGACCCACGGCTGGGCTGTTGTCCGTGGCCAAGGCTCCACGTGGGTCACAACACCTACACGTCTGGAGAAATCCTAGGGGCATCTGCTGTCCTCAGCGCCTCCCGCCATCCTCGGTGCCATCGTGAGCGATGCGGGGACAGCGGGGAGCGTCTTGCAAAGCGTTAGACTTAACTTCAGAGGAACCCACGATTAAAAGTGTCCCACTGCCGCAGTGACGGGTCTGCTGCTTCCGGAGCGTCGTGCCCTGGGGCTGCCGGAGCCGTAGCATGCTGGTGCGCTCATGCTGGTGTAGCCCGCGGGCCCTGCAGACGCCTGAGTCAAGCTTGGGGTCAGTGTGTGGAGAGCTTGGTGACGGCAGAGAAATCCATGCCGTCAGGGGAGGCTCAGCCTGGCGCAGCCGACAGCCCGTCCCCAGTCGCCCTGCACACCCTCCACGCCACAGGGCCGGGGCAGAGCCGAGAGTGACATGCAGCGCCCCAGGGAGGCCGGGCGGTGCAGTGGGACAGGGCACGGCATGGCGCCCACCCCAAGGGAAGAGGTTGGAATGTCGGCAGAAGGGACAGGGTGACCCCCCGCGGGGGGGGCGGTGCAGTGATGAAGGGGGTTCAGGTGCGCCGTGGACAGACGTTTCCTGGCGTGGAACTAGAGGGCAGGGGAAGGGCTCCTGGGGGCGGGGGGCGTGTCGGCCGGGGTTGGGCAGCGAGAACCCACATTCACACTGGGCACGAGCAGTGACCGCCCGGCTCTGCCTGGCTTCCCAGGACCAGGGCCTCTGAGAATGTGGCCAAAGAGGACAGCTGAGGTGCCGGGGCTCTGGACCACAGGAGGAGGAGCTGCCGCCTCTCTGGCACAGGCTGGTGTCCCAGGAGGGCCATGGGCTTTCCTCCCCCCATCCCCAGAGCTATACTGCTGTGGTCACACACGTGTGTCAGGTGGCTTTTTTTTTTTTTTTTTTTTTTAAGATTTTATTTATTTGACAGACACATCACAAGCAGGCAGAGAGGCAGGCAGAAGAGAGGAGGAAGCAGGCTCCCCGCTGAGCAGAGAGCCCAATGCGGGGCTCGATCCCAGGACCCTGAGATCATGACCTGAGCCGAAGGCAGAGGCCCCTCAGAGGCCACTGAGCCACCCGGGTGCCCTGTCAGATGGCTTTTAATGAGGAACAGCTGGGGGGCCAGGGCCTGTATGGCAGCGGTGCCCACACCAGCAGAGAGGGCCAATGCAGTGACCCCAGGGCAGCATCAGGGCAGGCCATGCCTCCGTCAGCAGTGAGCAAAGTGGGCCTCGTCGACGTCGCGCAGGTCGAGGCCCGAGACGCTGGGGGGGCTGGCGCAGGTGATGTTGTTGTAGGCGTACGCGGGCGGCTGGCCGTCATCGCCCTCCGGCACCACCTGCACGAAGCGCGGCACGACGCTGGGCTGCTGTAGGGCCAGGGTCCTCAGGGCCCGAAGCGGGCAGCCGCAGTCCCAGGGGTTGCCCTCGAGCCACAGGCGCTCCAGGCCGGGGGCGTGCGGCGTGAAGGTCCGCAGGGAGTTGTTCTGGAGGCTCAGGTAGCGCAGCTGGGGCAGGTCGGCCTCGGGCAGGGCCTCCAGGCGGTTGTGCGACACGTCCAGCCAGAAGACGCGGCGCAGGGGCCGCAGGGCGTCCGCCGCCAGCGCCGCCAGCCGGTTGCCCGAGAGCAGCAGGTACTCCAGCTTGCCGAGGCCCTGGAACGCCTGGCCCGGCAGGTGCGTGAGCTGGTTGGCCGTGAGGTCCAGCTCCTGCAGCTCAGCCAGCCCGCCCAGGCCCTGCTCGTCCACGGCCGCGATGCCGTTGTGCTTGAGGAATAGGCGGCGCAGCCCCGAGAGGCCGGCGAAGGCATGTGGCCAGAGGCGGCCCAGGCAGCCGCGCTCCAGGTGCAGACTGTGCAGCCGGCCCAGGCCGAGGAAGAGCTGCGGCGGCAGCGTCCGCAGGCAGTTCCCGGACAGGTTCATGACCGCCAGGCTGCGGAGGCCCGCGAAGGCGCCCGCCTCGATCTCGCGGATCTGGTTGTCGTTGAGCGTCAGCACCTCGAGCTGGCCCAGGCCCTCGAAGGCCCTGTCCGGCAGCTGCCGCAGGCGGTTGTGGCTGAGCTGCAGCTCCTCCAGGAAGTGCAGGTCCTTGAAGGCGCGCGGCCGCAGGCCGGCCAGGGCGTTGTGCGACAGGCGCAGGACGTGCAGGCCCAGCAGGCCGGGGAAGGTGTCCTCCAGGAGGCCGCTCACGCGGTTGTGCGACAGGTCCAGCCAGCGCAGCGCCTTCATGCCCAGGAAGGCGCCGGGGGCCACGGCGGCGATGAGGTTGCGCTCCAGGTAGAGCTTCTGCAGCCGGGGCAGCTTGACGAACACGTCGGCCTTGACGCTGCGCAGGGCGTTCCTGCTCAGGTCCAGCTCGCGCAGCTCCGCCAGGCCGCGGAAGAGCGGGGGCTGCAGGTACGCCAGCCTGTTGCCCGCCAGCACCAGCTCGCGCAGGCCGGCCAGGCCGTGGAAGGCGGCGTCGGGCAGCACGGCCAGGCCGTTCCAGCCGAGGTTAAGGTCCCAGAGGCCGGCCAGGCCCTGGAAGAGGCCGTCGTCCAGCCGGCCCAGGTGGTTGTTGCCGAGGCCGAGCGACGCCAGGCCCGGCGTGTGCAGGAAGGTGCGGGCCGCCAGGCCGCGCAGCTGGTTCCGCTCCAGGTGCAGGTGGCGCAGCCGCTGTAGGCCGAGCAGCGCCTCCGGCTCCAGGCTCGCCAGCCCGCTGCCCTGCAGGTTGAGGAAGGCCAGGCTGGAGAGGTTCCGGAAGGCGGCCGCGGGGATGGAGGACAGGTTGTTGCCGTCCAGCCACAGGGCCCTGGCGCCGTGCGGGATGCCGTCCGGCAGCCGCGTGAGGTTACGGGAGCTGCAGAAGACGCTGAGCTGGTCCACGTAGTCATCGTGGCCGCAGGCGCACACGGCTGGGCACTGCGGACTCTCGGCAGCCCCCGGGGCCCCGTTCTCCGCTCCCTCGGGGCTGCAGGGGCCCAGCGCCGCCCACGAGACCAGCAGCACGGCCAGGACCGGGCCTCCTGCAGGGAGAGGGGCCAGAGGACTTGAGCCCCGGGGCGAGGGCCGCCGCCTGCCCACACGCTGCGGCGTGGAACTCGCGCCCGGACCACAGCACGTGACCGAGAGAGGCCATGGTGCTGGCAGCCCGGACAGAGGTGGGAGCTCAGAGCTGCGCTCTCCCGTCCGCATTTGGAAGCAGAGCCCCAGTTAGGACAACCGGGACGTGGTCCAGTTCGGAACTGACGGCCCTTTCCACCCTGCAGGCCCGCTGGGGTAGCGACGCCCGTTCTGGAGAGAACTGCGGGTAGGGGTGCCTGGCCATTCGGCCGTGTGGCCGTGTGCATCCCAGTGTGGACACGAGTGGGACCGTGCTGGCAGGTGGGCCAATGGGAGGCCCGAGTGGGGTATGTGCTCCTGCCCTTGAGAGCCGCCGGTGGGTGGGCGGGCGCCGCCGCAGTGAGGCTCTGGGGCGGGGGTCACCCCCCCCCACGTGCTCCCAGGAGCCTGTGCCTTGGGTCCAGGAATGTCTCAGCACTCGTGCCAGGAGAGGAGCACGACGCCTGCCTCAGGGCAGATGGGGACTCTGCACCCCCAACTCATCAGGGGTCGGGGTGTCTCGGGACAGAGGGCACTTGAGTCCCACCCCATCGACACCCCAAAACCTGCGTCACGCACTGGACTGCCCACCGAGTCGGGGCCCATCCCTGCCCTCAGAGTGCGGGCTGTCCAGGGGGGTCCAGAGGCAGTGCAAGAGGCGCCCCACACCCACCTGCATAGGCCGTGCTGGGCCTTTGAGGGGCTGCGGGGCCAGCAGTCCAGCCCAGGGAGGGGTCCCCGGGGGGGCCTGAGGGGACTGGCCCCGGAAACAGACAGGAGGTGGGTAGAGGGTGTCCGAGGGCACATCCCGAGGCGCCCCTGCGGCGGCACCGGCGTTGTCAGCTCACCCCAAGCTGGGCCCTCGCAGGGCTGCCCCGGGCCTCGGAGGCACGGGGTTGGCTACCCCCAGAGCGAGGGGCTGGGGCCCTAGGCGCTCCTCACCTCCAGTCAGGGCCATCCCGCGTGCAGAACAGACCACAGGCGGGCCACAAGCTGGTGCGTCTGCTGGGGCCGGCTGCTCCTGTCCTCTGATTTCCCCACTGCCGGGGCTGCCAGCGCCCTGTGGCCAGCCCAGCCCAGCCCTGCTGGCCCGATGCCATTAACCCTCCCGAGCCCGGCACCCAGCGTCAGCCCCAAATGCCTAGGACACGGATGGCACAGGGGAGAGGCTGGGGGGGCTGCCTTCACACCAAAGCCACCTTCAGGTTTACCTGGCTGGCCCTCTGCCCCTGGGCAGGGGCCCCTCGGGCAGCTGTGGGGGACCTCCCACTCAGCGGACGGCCACGTGGGAGTTAAGTGGGAGATGGGCCTGGCACGCTGACCACCCCCCTCCTTCCCCCTGCCCATTTCCTAACAGCCTGGGTGGGGTCCTCATCAGGCCTCCCTGGGGCCCTGCCCAGCCTCGGCTTCTGGGACCTCAGGGTCAGCTAGTGTCTGCTCACCCCTCCTCCCCCCATCCTCTTCTAGGAACCCAGGGCAGGGTCCCCGGCCCCCTTGTGTTTGCTTTCCCTAGCACTGCCCTCTCTGGAAGAGTGGAGGGAGGCCTGGCCTTGGGCGCCGGGTCTTGTGGCTGCAGGACCAGCCTCCACCTGCTTTGGGACCCAGGCTGTCCTCCAGAGCCCCCGTGGGGCCCTGACCAGCCCGCTCTGCACAGAATGGCTGCCCAGAGACTGGCCTGAGGTCAGTCCCAGGTCAGGCCAGGAAGAAGGTTGACAGCCAGCACGTCCCCTTGCTGCTCAAGCAGGGGGATCCCTGCGCCCCCTTGTCCACCCAACCTGGGCACAGCGGGCACAGCCAGGGGAAGGGTCCTCGGCAGAGGCCGACAGACGAGGGCACAGCCAGGCTCCCCTCGAGAGGAGGGGCAGGGCTCAGGGAGCCTTGGGAGACTCTCCAGTGTACCTCCTGGCCAGGGGGCAGGTCCGCAGCCCCGCAGAGAGGGCCAGGGGGACCCGCTGCACGCTTCTCCATTCCCCCACTCCTGCCTCACCCCTGCCTGGCCCACAGCTCCCAGTGCCGGGCGTGGGGACGGCTTTATCTCTCCCTTTATTGAGCTTTGATTGATTTCCAGGTCGGTTCTCAGCCTCTGTTCTGAGAAATTATAGATCCGCCGGAGAACGTGCACGCCCAGAAATTGACCAGGTAAACACGCGTTACCGCAGCCCCAGGTGCCGACTCAGCACGTTCCCTTGAGCCCTGCGCAGGGCCAGGGCCAGGAGGGAGGGTGTGCAGAGGGACAGGGCTCTTTCTGTAAACCCGGCTGGGCTCGCATGGCTGCCCCCATAGCAACACCCGCACTCCGCCCCTGGGTCCCTCCCTGTCCTGGCCACCGAGGCTCTCCCCGAGACGTCTGGTTTCATGTGCTTCTGATCATCGTGTGGATGGGGGTCCCACACGAGCCCTGGGCTTGGCTCCCGTGTGACACGGGACTCAGGCAGCTCGGACACACAGCTGTCCCCACATCCTTGCTCACCCGCCTGCTGCCCGCGGGCCCTGTGCCTCGGGCCTGTGGGTCCTCCGTGGACTTGCTGGGACCCAGGTGTGTGTCTTCTTGGCAGGTGAGGCTGGACTTCCTGAGTGGTTAGCGGGTCCCCACCTCCTGGCGCCCAGGGGTGCCCTGCCCAGCCCAGCGCCATCCTGTCTGTTCCCAAGCCCCGAAGGTGAGTGGCTGCTGGCTTTCGTTCCGTGCTTCTCAGACACCAGTGGGACTGCAGCCCCTGAGGCTCGTCAGCGGGGGACTGTCCTGTCCCGTGAAGGGCGTGTATGTCTCTTGCCAATTTCTGGTGATGGCTCAGTCCGATCTGTGTTCTTAAAGAAAGTCTGGATGCACATCCTTCCTGGCTGGGGGGGGGGCGTGTGAGCAGTGTGTCCTTCCGTCCTGGGGCTCACCTGGCCGCGCTCTCCATCATTTTTGGCAAGAGTTCGTTGGATCGCCGTTTCCCGAGGCACTCGGCGCCGAGCAGGAGTTCTCAGAACGTGGGGGTTTCTGGGCCACTCTCGGACGTGGACTTTAATGTGACGCTCTCAAAGCGCCGTGGGGCACGTCGGGGGCTGTGCCCCCCAGCCTCGAGGTGGACAACGTCTTGGTCCCTCGCGGAGACGGCTCCCCCCAAGAGCCGCTTGGCTCCGCGGCCAGGGCCCCGTGTGCGCTCTTCTGGACCGAGCGAGCGGCTCGCCCGCGTCTGGGCCGGAACCAGAGCCCGCGAGAGGCGGGCTGCGCTGAGGTCTGTGCGGAAGGGACCCCCGCAAGCCCCACGTCATCCCCCGCTCTAGCTCTGACCTGGGGTCGCTCAGCACTGCTACGCGTTTCTGTTCCGATCACCCGTGAGGCGTGTCGTTTTCCCGGCTGGCGGCTACTTTTTGATACGTTTCCTCCTCGGTCTGCCTCAGTTTTGCCGTCTGGGCTTTGAGCTCCCGAAAGGTGCTGCGGAGTGCGACGCCGCCCCGACAAGTCCTCCCCTGCGGCGGCCCAGTCAGCGCGGCGGGGCCTGCCCGCTGGCGTGGCTGCCCCTGGCCGGCGAGCGGGCTTTCTGCGAACACGTGCAGTGCTGGGGCACCGGGGGGGGGCGCCACTAGCTCCTTCCGCCGGCTGAGCTCACCGCCATAGGGGCGCCTCTGTCCGGGGCTGCCGAGACCTTGTCGCGAGCCTTCAGCTACGGCTCTCGGTGCGGACGTGGGTTTCCGGCCTCTTGGGCACATTCTTCCGGGGGAGCTGCTGGCTCACGCGTGTTTAGGTGCGACAGTTACGAGACTTTAAGTCACCCCTGCACCCGGCATGGGGCTCAAGCCCATCCCCCGAGCTGCAGAGCCGCAGGGGCTGGGCCGGCTGCCTGCGTCCCACAGCACACTCCGCAGCGTGAGCGCGCCCTGCGCATCCGTCCTCGCCCGGCGGCCCGGCTCTCAGCGCCGCCTTCCCCGGGACGCGCTCTCCAAGGCGGGCCGGCTTTTCCCTTGTCTCCTGAGTTCTGAGAGTGGATTATCAGGTATGATATTTGGGAGCATTTTTCCCAGTCTGTGGCTCGGCCGTTTTTTAAAAAATGGGGCACGTGGGTGGCTCGGTCAGTGCAGCGTCAGACGTTTGATGCCACCTCGGGTCTCCATCTCTGGGTTGGGAGTTCAAGCCCGGCCTTGGCCTCCGCACTGGCTATAGGGCCTACTTCAAGAAAAAAAAAGGCGAACCGCCTCCTAGAATGCAGAGGTTGGTTTTGACAAGCTGCCCCGCTGGTTTGGCTTTTCTCTGGCTCAGGCTTTCCACGTGCCTCACACCAGATGACGGCGATCTTCCAGCGGAGGGGTGTGGGGCGCCTTCCCGTTGACTTAGATCTTCACGAATCTTGAGCTGTTTTCCATGCGGTACTTCCGGAGGATCTTTAGTTTGGTGCCGCCGTGGACGGGACCCTCTTCGTTCCGTGAACAGCTGTTCCCAGCACGTGGAAATGGAGTGGATTTTGTTTTTCCTAATCTGGTGTCCCAGGACCTGGCCGAATGAATTTGCCGGCGCTGGGTTTGTAGGTGTCTCTGGGTCTCTAGGATTAGCTGCTTGGGGGGGTCATCTCATCGGTGGGGGGTTGCCTCGTCAGTGAGTAAGGATGTTTCTCCTTTTTCCTTCCCAGCCTGCAGCCGTTTCCGCGGCTTCCTGGTGCCCCACGGCGCAGCCAGCACCACGCCGAGACCGGCCGCACCTCGCTCCTGGTTTTAGAGGTGAGCATCCCACGGGTCACTGTGATTTCGGAAGCTGTGACAGCAAAATAAATGCTCTTTTTGGGGGGGGGGCAGCCGTCCTGACCCCTATAGTCACAACCGTGTCCAGACACACAGCAGAAAGGGGCGCAGGCCTAGACAGCGGGGCTACTGTGGGTTTTCCAGGCAGACCCAGTGTCGTTACAAATGTCCTCAACAGTGGCAGGGCGGCTCCAGGGGCAGGTGGGAGGCCGGGGGAGCGGGCTTCACCTACAGCTGCTGGTGTTGGCGTCTACGGGAGGGACGTTGGGAGCCAAGGAACGAGGGCACCTCTGGCAGGAGGACCCGGGCTGGGGAGAGGCTCTCCGGGGCCTCCGGGAGGAAGCAGCTCAGCGGCCCAGAGCAGCTGGGGTCTGACTTCTGGCCTCGAGCACCGGCTCGCGGGTGCTTGTTCCTGTGCGGGGAGCAGAGTGGCGCCGTCCCCCGCTGCGGGATTCTGCTGACGTGTGTGTTCTGTGTCAGCCGGGGTGACGGCGGGTTTGTCAGCCTCTTGATCTTTTCAGAGAACTAACTTTGGGGTTTTTTTTCCATTTTGCTAATTTTCCTTTTTCTTCTGCTTCCCTTGTGTTTTGTTTGCTCTCTTCTCTAGTTTCTTCACTAGAAGCCTCTCCTCCTGCTGTGCAGGTGCGTGTCCCGCACACGTCGGTGCTTTCCACGTCCACTTTCTCTGTCCTGCTTCACGCACGGGCAGGTCCTCACGCAGGGGCCGCGCTGGTCGTCTCTGTGGCTGCAGCTCGCGCGTGTGCGGGAGCGCGCGCCGCGTCCACGGCTCCGACTGCGTGCTGTCCTGTCCGGAGGCGGGGGTGGCCAGACCTCACGCTGCCGCTGGGAACTCATTCCGCTCGAGCAAGCCGACACACTCCCTTCGCTCTGTTAAAACTCACTGTGACCGGTTTCGTGGCTCACGCCGGGTCTGGGCTGGAGGACGCGCGCGGGCGGGCTGATCCGAGCACAGGCGGGTTCCGTGGGCGAGCGCGTGCTCTGCGCCTTCGGCGTCCTGGGTCACGGGTCCTCCAGGCCGTCTGCCGCTCCGGGAGAACGTCGGCCTCCGTGTCTTAGGGTGCCTGGCTGGCTCCGTCGGTGAGGCGTCCGATTCATGGTTTCAGCTCAGGTTGTGATCTCGGGGACGCAAGATTGAGTCCTGCCCTGGTCTTCAAGCTCTGGGGGAGTCTGCACCCCTCCCCCGATTTGCTCGCTCGCTCTCTCAGTTTTTTTATTTTTACAGATTTTATTTGACAGAGAGAAATCACAAGTAGGCAGAGAGGCAGGTTGGGGCGGGGGAGAGGCCCCCGTGAGCAGGGAGCCTGATGCAGGGCTCGATCCTAGGACCCCGAGATCATGACCTGAGCCAAAGACAGACTCTAACCCACTGAGCCACCCAGGCACCCTTCAAATCTTTAATTTTTTTAACTAAAAAAAAAAAAGATCTCTGATTCTTGTTATGTAACCTATTTTCCACTCAGTCCCTGAATTACATAATTACTTAGAGGGCCTAGTGTGAAGCCGGGTTCTTCCGCAGGCCCCCCCCAGCCCCGTTCAGACACGACCGTCCGTCGCTCTGACAGCCTGTTATGTCAGGTTGAGCTCATGAACCTGAGCTGAAGAAATGAGAAACCGCTCTGGGCCAGGGAAGGAGGAGAAGTCACAGCGTCCTGCCTCCTCGCCCCCTCCACACCCGCCCAGCCAGCCACAGTGGGTCCCAGACGGGCTTGAGCCTGCGTGGAGTCCTGGGGGCACACAGTGCAGCCCCGCACCAGCCTGTCCTAGACCCCCCCGGGAGCCGCCGCCTCCCAGGCCTCTCTGCTGCTGCGACGCGGGATCGGCGTCCGTTAGAAGGTGGTGGACCCGGAGAAACCTTCTATGGGTCTGTGAAAGGTTTGGGGTTACTAGGGGTGCAGGGGTACCCTTGGCTCACTGCTGTGACCCTCACTCATAAACAGAACATTCTGAAGGGTGGTAAAGCCTGAACGATTTCCTAGCGGCACAGGAGCGGGCCACGTGGGGCCAGCATGTGACCCGGAGCAGACGGACCCCGCCCAGGAAGACAGGACACAGGCCCGAGGGAGATGCTTTCCAAGAAAACCCCTCTGAGGGCAGCAGGGGCCCGGGGTCAGGAGTCCGGAGCGAGAGTGGCCAACGCCCAGTCTCTGCGCTCGTACCCGACGGGACGGCGGCCCACGGCAGGGAGGACACGAGGGAGAGAAACCAGCAGAGCCCCCTCGGCCGCCCTCCGCGCCCCATGCCAGCCGCACAGGCGAGTCTGCGGCGTGACCGCCCGTGCGGAGACGACAGCCGGAGGAGCGGAGACAGGAGGGGCGCTCAGTCTGTCGGGAAACATGCGGCGGGACCTCCGACTTGCGGGTTCGAGCCTCATGGTGGGTGTGGAGATGACTTTAGATCTTCTTTAAAAAGGAAGAAAACCCTGGGAAGAAAGGCGCCTCCCCAAGTGGCTTCAGCTGCTGGAAACCCCAGGTTCGCACTCGAATTCCCCTTCCTCAGACTCCCAAAGTGCAAGCGTTCCGGTCCCTTCCACGTCTGCCGGCGGCGGGCTCGTGCGAGGAGGCGTCCGGCCCGGCCGGCCATGGGAGGCCCAAGCAGTAGCTCGCCAGGAGAACTGCGCGCAGCCCGCCCAGGAGACCGCATTCCTGTCCAGGGTGACTTCTGGTCACACTTATGTGTCCCCTGCAGGCCTCCCCCACATGCTGGCCACCTCCCAGGGTACATTTCCAGCCTGGACCTACCCTGACCCTCCTCTGCCCACTGCCCCTGACCCTGGGAAGCCTCACAGGCACCTCGGCCTCCCGCTGCCCAAACCCAGCCTCACGGGCCTTCTCTGAGCTCCTTTCTGTCTCCCTGCGACCCCGCGCTCATGGCGCAGATCCCTGGGGCAGAGACTGGGCTTTCACTCCACTCACGGGCACCCTCCGCCTGTCCAGCAGCCTCACCACAGCCCTCGGAAAAATGCTGGTCAAGGCTCGCTCTGCCTGCCGGCTCCTAACTTCACGTGGGCGCCAAGGTCCTCCTGTGTCCTGTCCACTGCTCCTCACGGCTCAGCCACAGCCGTGCCCCAGGGCCTTGGCACTTGCTTTTCTCTCTAGGTATCTGCAAGGCTCACTGCTATGAGCCGTCACTCATTCACGGCACCACCTCGGTGAGGCCTGCCCAGCCACAACGCTGGCTGCTCCTCGCCCGGTTTTCTCCCGTGCTTCCTCCCGACCCGGCTGCCCGGTCCCTCCATCAGGATGGAAGCTCCCCAAGGACAGAGGCTTCTGTTCACACCGAACCCCCAGAGCAGCTCAGCCTCCGCCCAGCAGCCGCGCTCAGGTCTGTGAAACCCAGAGGTGGGGACAAAGGCTGTGGGCCCGCTCGCCTCTCTGCAATGCAGGAGACCCAGGGAGCGAAGTCCCAGCAGCGGGACCACAGAAGGTTCACGGGGGAAAACGGAGCTCAGGTGGGAGGAGCAGGTTCCTGGGAGCGAGGCTGACGGCACTTCTCTGCGCTCCCGATGCTGGAGTGACTGAAAAAGACACCATTTACGTCCACAGCAGCCAAACTGTGGAAAGTCTAGATGTCCATCGACGGACGAATGGCTAAAGATGTGTGTGTACACACAGATGGACGAACGGACACACACCCGAGTATTACGCACCCATCGAAAAAATGAAACAAAACAAAATTCCAAAATCTTGCCATTTGCAACGACGTGGATGGAACTGGAGGGTATGACGCGGAGTGGAATGTCAGTCAGAGAAAGACCATTCTCACACGGTCTCCCTGACGGGAGGAATTCGAGCAACAAGACAGGATCGTGGGGCGGGGAGGGAAAAGTGAACACGAAACCGGAGAGAGAGACAAACCGTAAGAGACTCTTCATCTCAGGAAACCAGCGGAGCGTTGCTGGAGGGGAGGGGGCGGGGGGCGGCTG